CACAACAAGAAAAATTGAAAAAAACGAAAACACTTCTAACCTATATACATGCAGGGATTATAATTTAATTTCTATAATAGCGACATATACGTACCGTCAATAATTGAATGATCTATGAGACCTAAACTTTGTTTTTTATAAAAAACATCAACATATATACTTTGAATTATTTGCTACTAACTAGGATAAAATAATTTGACACCTTAAGATTCAAAAGCTAAAAAAACTGTGGATGAGATAAGTCAGAAGAGGAATGCTTGTTTCGGCATGCATGTCTCTGCCTCTTTGATTGAAAATTTTATTAAAATGTAAATATATAGTAGTAGTATATAACTCGAGTAATCATTGTTATGACTTGTGCTTTTTTTTACGTATTTGAAATGAAGTTTTGTGGATGTATAGTTAGTTTAATACACATTGGTACAATTAAATTAAACGGATGCAGGGATTGCTGAAATTGTTGGTCCAATGGGGTGCCATTTACTGACAAAAAATTAATAACCTGGTCAATGTACGTCTTCCAAGTTACAATTATGCGAAATAATAATAGTATGAGGCTAAAATAATAATATCATGAGGCTAATTCTTCCATTATTTCAGCACCTCTTTATTAGGGTTGCACATCTCGAAATCTTTGTTTGATTGAGTATCGAGTTTCTTCGTTTTTGGAAAAATGGTGCTGAAATAAACCAAAATAATTTTCGGTTTAACTCGGTTCATGGATAACCCATTTCGATTCAGTTCATGTAAAGATAAATTGTTTCGAATTGAAGTTGAATTATGCTTCTATGATAAAACACTATTTCATTGTTATAATTTGATTCATTTTCAATCTATTTCAGTAATTTTGATAATTTCGAAAAGTTGTTTTAAGCAAATATAACTTTAAAATAAATAAAAAAAAACTCTATTATACTCGAACCACCACCAAAGACTTCACTTATATTTGACACAAACCAACATCAACAGTCAACACAACTCACACTCAACATAAAAACGTACCCCGACACACATTGACAAATTCCAAAATAAAATGATGAATATAAATCGCTGTTCTATACATGGTATAGAGTCGAGATAGACTATTATACTTTCAGTTGAGAAATCACAGATTAAACTAATGTGTAATCGATTTCAATATACACATATATGATATAATACTAGTATCCAAAAATGCTCGATGCTTTCTAAGTTTTATGAACTTAAATCATTATTTGAATTCAAAATATGAGCTGACAAGTAAACCTCTACAATGCAATCATCATGCTTACAATTTTTATTGAAATTTTGCCTCGCTTTTTTTTGTTCTTTTGTTTTTATATTTGGAGCATTGTTCTCTTCACTTTTAACTTTCGAGTTACTACAAACATGCAAGCACAAGCAGACAACATAATTACAACTTGCATAATTTAAATAGTATATAAACTCAAGTCGCCTTTTCAATCTGATGTCCTTAAATTTGGAGTTTGTCAAGTTGCTATGGGCCATTCTCAATTGCCCAATTGGTTGGCTCAGCTTCCAATAACTTGAAAATAAAAAATTGTTAATAATGTACTCTTGTTTGCTTACAGTTTAGTTAACCATCTTTCTCCACACAAATATTTGTGGGTTCCAATATATTCAAACAACTATATAAACGGCAAGTGTTTACCCATATGATTAAACATGTAATTTCTTTAATATGTAATTGGTGTTTTTTGGTTTGGTCAAAATGAAATTGTTGACATAATTGAGTTTTACTTACATTTTAATTTTCTTCTCATTACATCCGTATATAGAATGCTAACCAGATACAAAATTATTGAAAAATTGTATCTAATTTCTTAATTCATAAAATTAAACTCAATTTTTATTGTTTCTGCTAAGCAAATATATTAACTAAAACTGTAAACAAAACTAGTAGTATTGTTTCCGCTGACCAATTCTTAAAAAAATGTGTCTCAATTATGAATTGCAAATAAATGAAACTATCTTAAGAATTTCGTAACTGAACTGTGATTAAGATAATTAATAGATGTGTTTAAGATTAATTTTTGACATAATGGTTTATGATCCCGTCACCCATGTTAAGAAGATCGTAGAGATATATCATATATGCCTTTAGAAGAAGAAAAAACTCTTCAAGGCACATAATTACGATACGACTTTAAGAGTAAATCGACAACTAACATATGGGATTGGGTAAAAGACAAAGCACTTGGCCATTAACATTCATCCACTTATATATACATCTAGAAATTATTTTAAGTTTACCAGCAAACAATTCTTTGCTACAAAGTCTCTTTTCTCAATAGAAAAGTGTTTGGCCTGCAAAGTTTGGCATCGCATGTTTGGTATAGCTACTGATTTTCGAAAGCCACCCAAAAATACATGTATTTTGTGTCTATAACTAAAAATTTCTTGATTTTCCTTTTCTGATTCAATACGTCAAGTAAATGATTTAAAAAAAACCTGTCACCCGCCGCCAATTTACAGAATCAGGATAAGTACAAGTATGTAGAAATAAACTTTATTTTTGTTTTTTTGCTTAAGAATGTAGAAATGAACTTGTCGAGCAAAGACACAAACCAGTACAAGCTTTTTGAAAACAGTGATTCATGAAAAGGTTATCAAAACCTAATTCAGTAGACTATATTGACTTTCCTTGATTCTAAATATTATCTTAAGCGTGGCTATAATTATTCATTCCCTTTTAAACTTTTTGTTTCTTATAAACTTACACTTTGCTAAATAGAGCTTAAGAAACATCATTACACGTTTTCCTAGTCGTTCCAAAAATACTTTTCATCAAATGGCTTTATTATATAAACACTATATTTCGTGATTTGAAAATGAAACTCCTATATCGCATCGTAGTCCATTAAAATTCGAAAGCCAGATCATTGCATATGTACAGAAACTGAAACAAAAGAATGCAATCCAGTTTACAAAAGGCTAATATTTCATATTCATAAGGTGGAGGCAAAATCGATAATGTCCCCAAAAATAAAAGCCCATGGACACCGAAGCCCACATTACCAAATAGTCAATAGTTCAATCCCAGGTGACAGACAAAGAAATGCTACACAATCTACAAATTTCAGTTCCATGTTGAAGCGATATGAATCATATGAAGGTCTTATCAAATCACGTTATCCTCTTAAGTATGGGGTCCCATCATCTATATATATATATATATATATATATATATGAAAAACCCATATAACCATGTCTTTCTATTATATAGTCTATAATATCTTCAAGATGTTTGTTATATTAAGACCAAAATATCATATTTTACTCACATCATCTATTCTTTATGCATATATTTGGTATTCGTATAATCTAGATACATGGAATATGATCGGAATACTTGAGTATTAGACCAAGTACATCTCTACTCCAACCAGAAAGTATTATCGAAATCGTATAAGAAAGCACTAGGAAACAAATGTTTGTGTGATGAATATACATGTATTGAAATTAAATGTGAAGTTGTCTCAGAAATTTAAACCATGTCAAATCATTCTATAAACTATGTTAAAACGAGCATAAAAGGTTGGAACAAACTTGATAACTGGTAGTCTGGTACATATGTTGTAAATGAAAATCATCAACACAAACTTGAATTCGAAATTTATTTGTTATTGCACTTAACATTATATATTGCAGTCCTACGAATAGTATGATACGATGAGTAATCAGACAAACAGACAAACAGATTTACACATTTGAGTGCATTTCAGCCACCATTCAGTTTAAAGGTCAAAAAGATAAAAATGGCTTGAATGGTCCATATTTATATTCTTTTTACACATTTACATAATTTTTTCTAAAAAATTTTTGTTAACAAAACTCATATCTGAATTTGGGTAAGACTCGCAATTTGTTATCGATATCACTCTTAAAAGTTGCGATCAATTATTCTTTATACAATCGTATCATTTTATTGGTAAAATCAAAATTACAAAACAAGACAAGGATTCTTGCTATTCGTTAAAATAGAAAGAAAGTTGCAAACAATTTCAGTTTCATGATATAAATTACGTAAGTGTACTCTTAAACTTTTTTTTATCAGTTTGCTGTAGTGATTTTAGTGAAACATATAAATAACTACATATGTTGTACCTCCACGGGATGCGTTTCTGAATGTGGAAAAAGAAAACAAAACGAGATAAATTATTAAACAAAAAATATATTTATATAAAATAGTACAAGTTTCAAAGATATCATGAACTTTGTCCCCAAGCAATGTGTGCATTATTTGACATACCAAACTTTTCCACGGCACATGAAACAGTAAGATTCCTCTGAATATAGTACATAAGTTTTACACATAATAGTATTTTATAAGAAAAACTAATGAATTAATTAAGAAGAGACATCGCGAAAAAGTTGATACTAAGATATCTTATTATCTCAAGAACTTTACCATTATCAATTATGCCTTGTAACTAATGATTCTCAATTATATACATCATTAGGTTTACCATTTACCAAAAAAAGAAATTTAAAGCAAAGGTAATGTGCTCGATTGCCAAAACCATTACATTTTGGTAGCTAGTCGGCACATATGTACACGTGTATCAGTTGAAAATGAACCAAAATCATATGTACTGAGCATCATGATTTTTATTTCATAAACGTATTGTGCAAACTGCAAAGCATATCTTTACAATAACAACAGTGGTATTATTTACTAATAAATTTGATTAAAAAGGAAAAATTTAAAAGGAAAAGTCACATGTAAAGGTCAAAGAAGTGACAAAAAGACCTCTTGTTCATGTGATCTTCCTATAGGCACTTATTGAAACCCAACCGTATTGAAATATTTGATATATAAAACCTTCAATTATTATATTACAGTCAGTTTATCATATCCGTCGCCAATTTTCTCCAAGCAACAAATAACTTGAAAAAAGTATATATAACTACGACAAGGGTAAATTAATTAACATATTAAAAGAATTTTTAAAATGAGAAAAATATATAAACTAATGTATTTATTATGGACCGTCGGATCAACTGAAACTCCAAAGCGGAATATCAGCATCTTCGTAAAAGTACTCATCGACCATATTTGTCGTCGAATTTAACTGAGGAGAGTAATCAAACGGAGCTCCATCATCGAAGAAGAACGTCCCATTTTGATCAGCATCATACCATGATGATGATGGATCCATCAAAGAAACATGCTTGTCCACGAAAGACCCTATCAAAGATTGCATTCCATCATCATCATTATCATCATGATGCTGATCATGATCGGACGGTGACGAGGCGGCTGATGAGGAATAAGTGGAAGAAGAAGGGGCAAAAAGGTCAAATGCGTTGTTGGCAGCTTGAGCGGCGACTCTTTGGATGGATTTGGGGGATAAAGTGGTCTTTTCATCAAGAAGATGATGAGAAGAAGAATACGAAGAAGAAGAAGTAGGGAAGTTGAGATTGGCCTGAGGTCCTTTGAGACACAAGAGTGCAACATCGTAGGCCCTAGCTGCTGCTTCAGCTGTAGAGTAAGAACCTAACCAAATCCTTGTCTTCTGATTTGGTGCCCTAATCTCAGACACCCATGATCCCCAACTTCTCATCCTCACTCCTTTGTACTTCTTGATCTTATTCTTCTTGTTCTTGCTCTTACACGATGAGGAAGACGAAGATGAAGATGAAGAATGAGATGGTGAAGACAAAGACATTTCCTTCTTGGTGTTGGTTCCGACCTTGGGTTCTTGTTTCACCATGGTAGTGTTCTTGTGTGTATTGAACAGCGACTACGTAGACGATATATATGGTACTGATCAAGTGATGAAGAGATTGTTCTTTTATTTTTGTTGTTGCTGTAATGGATAGGGAGATTTTTGGATGAGTGTTAATGTGAGGCGAGAAGATTCTATATATAGAGATGAATTGATATGGGAGGGGTATGGGAGACGAAGAGATGAAATATAATTTATTGATGTAAATCTAAAATAGGGTCAAATGAAATATAGTATGGTTTTTCTTGTGTATGAATGTGAGAATGTGACATTGTGGTGGTGCATGACAGGTGTTTTTCTTCTATTTTCTCTTTATCATGGCAACTGTCATTAATTCAATTTTGTTCCCATCTCATTAAAAAACAAAAACAAATTTTATATCTTTGGAATTTAATTATTAATTATAATTTGGATGCATGTTATGGCTTTGCCCAAGTGTTCGAACAATGAACCTCTGAACATGGCTTTCTTTTAACCTTTTCCTAATTTTATTTTATTTTATTTTGTTAAAAAAAGTTTTGCTAGCTTTGCATCTTCTTACTGTTCGAATTTATAATTTAGAGGGGAAACTCTTAAGAATATTATTTACATACATTTAGACCAGTTGATTATGACATCACGTAAACGTTTGTCAATTATGGGGAAAAAATTGTTTATGCTAAAACCATTTTACTATTCTACCATCTAAGTAAAAAATGTTCTCTGTAACTTCACAATTTAATTTCTAAAAAAAAAACTTCACAATTAGATATTTTTCCATATCTTATTTTATAATTTATAGGATTTGAATGGTATGCAGCTTTTTTAAGTTTTCACGTTTTAAAAATTTGATTTAGTTATTTTTTACTATTCATGTTATTCATTACGTTTTTACGTTTTTTTATGTTTTTAAAACGTGATTCTACTAGCGTGTTAAAAATATAACTAAAAAAAATAAAATGTGATTAATCTACTAAAAGTAGCTTTTCGGTGTTTCATAATTATTTAGTTAAAATATTATTCAGTTCAGTTCATTCCGCTAGTAATTTTTCAATTATTCTACTAATAATTTTTCAGTTATTCCACTATTTTATTATTCATCTGACATACCAGTCAGAATCATACTGTTACCGAATGGATTGAAATATCAAACAAAAACAAATTAACGAAGGGAGTCAATATTGTTAGGAATAAAATAGGAGCGTATAATAGCAAGCTGTACGGAAGCCACTTGGTGAGCAAATCGAGGAGTGATTCTTCTGAATACAATAATTTTAGATTGAGATATCAATTTTTCTATGATATTTTGACTTATGCGTTGCTATCACCACTATCAGGAGATTACAAATTACAGCTACGTTTTAACGCGTTAAGTCATATACGATCTTTCCAAGAAAGAGACCCCATTTATGGTTAGTTATTGGTCTATGTTTATTCTTCACGGATTAAACTAGTGGGTTTAATTTGTACTATAAGCTATAAATAAATTACTCCCTAATTATATAGTATCATGTTTTTTAAAACCAAAAAAAAAATTGGCAGTAAAATCTCCAAACGTGCACAAAAATGTTATTTACTTATTTCTTGTTATTATTTTTTTTATATTCTTGATTTCAGTGAATTATATATTATTCCTTTGATTCCATATTACACCTTAGCATTGAATTTAACATTTTCGTATCTTGGCTTGTGACTGTGTGTCAGTAACTTACGCGTAAACAATATAGAAACGTCGTACGCCACTGTAATCGAAATGAATACGTTTGATAATATTTATAACCATTTGGTAATAAATACTAATAACCATTTGGTAATAATTATAAATCATTTTACAACAGCCGCCAAAAAAATATTTTTACAACATACAAACATGTTTATCAAAAAAAGTATATATGTAAAATCTAAATACAAGGAGTGATATTGTGAGATAAACACCACAAGTATAAAAAAAATTCCATATGTTCCATTATAGAAAATGTTTTAAAAAATTTTGGATTCCATTATATTAGATTTTTTTTTTGTAAGTTTCTATGTAGGAGTTAATTAAAATTAATGTTTTGTGAGTACTAATATTTTGCATGATTTGTGTGTAGTTATATGTTAACTAGTGTCTTTAAGCAATAAAGTTAAAAAGAAAGTTGGATGCGGGTAATAATAAACAAGGAACAGTGCAAATTTGATAAGAATTTTGATATTTTTTAATATGGGGGATGGTGAAATGAAGAGGAGAAAACCAAAATAGCGAAGAGTGAAGTCAGAAGAGTGTGGAAGAAGGCGATGATGCTACTACATTGATCAGAGAGTGACTTCAAATTACAGCTGTTCTCACTCTGTCTTTCTCTTTGCTACCCAAACCCAAACCGCGTTTTCTTTTGTCACACTCACTCGTTATTATCTTTCTTATCTGTTTTTTTTAATTCATTCTTTCAATTCTCATAATGCACTTTATACCTATCGAAAATTCATGCGTATTCAAAAGTTCAGAATATTGTCGTTTTGCCCACAATTTGTGTCACTATAAAAGTATATACAAATTTGTGCTTAAAATATTCTTCATTATGGAAATAAAATCAAACTAAGATCGATCTTTTTTTTTCCAAGGATTTTTTTAACTAGTCTAGTTACGATCGAGTACATCCTGTCTTGTTTTCTTTTTAAAAAATATCGATACCAACATAATTCATGCGAACATATGTGACTCAATATATGGTAAAGATTGGTATTAAACAATTGAAAAAGGGAAAATAATAAAAGCATATATATTATATATGTAGCTTTAAAACACGCAAAGAGCACATGATCGTATGTAGGAAAAGAAGGGAGGTGACATGTTCTATGTGTGGACAGCCTTGACTTTCTCACAAAGCTTACGACTAATCATGGGATGGTACTTTGTTGTCTTCGTCTTGAGATTTCACACTTTGGTCTTACGCAAAACTCTCCAAAATGTGAGAGAGAGAGAGAGAGATCAGTGAGAGAGGAAGAGAACATGGGCGCGTTTTGTCAGCTTTCCAGCCAAAATATGCGTTTGCATGAAGAGAAAGAAGCATCTCGATCGTGGCTTCTTTCAGTTTCACTTTTGAGTCTTAACACTTACTTAATATATATATCTGACACTCTTTGAATGGAATTTCAAGTTCAAACAAGAAACTAGATCAAGCTTGTCGTGTCAAGATACGAATTCTGGAACTATCTTTAGTTTCTTACACTTGTTCCAGAATTCATATGAATATTAACCATTTTACTATAACAAACATAAAGATATATATATTCCATACATTTCACACACAATTTTTATTTTTATTTTTAAAAATGAAATTTAAGAAATTCAAGATTTTTTTTTGTGATGATGAGAAAGGCTTAAATTATAATGAAGTACCCTAATAAGTTTTAATTTTCTCTCATATTAATGCATACCTAAACTGTAGTCTTTTTTTGGGTGAAAATGTTAAAATTAAATAACACTATAACGAAAACCTTTTTTTATAAGTTTGTTCAGAAAACAAATGGTATCTTGATGAATTGAAAACCCCAATATATATACTGTATGAATTAATTGGCACCGTACTGCTTCCGTACTATTTCCCAACAGGGACTTCACGAGATTAATACGATACAATCTCAGCATCAATTAGTTTTACATTTATCATTTGTGTATATAGCATGGCAAGGAAGTTTCGAGGAAGACGAAGCGGTCTACGTCGATGGTTTTAATTTTATAGTATTTTTATTTTCCATTAAATATGTACGTTGAAGATTCAACCATGTATAATTGATCCAGTGAACTAGGTTCAACCACCAAATCCTTTTTTTTGTATATTCAGATGATCAGATCTATGACTTGGTCGGTTTTGAAAAAGTTAAAATTCATGTGGAGACTTAAAAATAAATTAGGATAATAGACCTTAAACATATACTTGTTTCGTAAATAAAAAGACTCATTCATATTTTATATGAAAAAAGTGAATACTATATTTCGGTATTTAACGTATATTTTATAAAAGATCGTTAGTTCTTTCGACAAGGCGTAGAAACAAGAAAGATCGTTTAAAAGAGAAAGAAAAAGAATTGTAGAGTTCGTTGACAAAATGATAAAGTAGTATAAAATTGATAGTTGAGATTAGAAGCCCAAAAGTTTAATTTTTATGGGCCGAATAAATATTTGTGGGCTCAATCTACAATTAGTTTCTGTCGAAGTAGGCAGGCCAAATTATTATCATCAGATGTAATGTTTGCGCCTAACTTTATTAGTTTTTTTTTGGGGTCAACTTCAATAGTTAAAAACTTAAAATTTAGTTTTCTTAATTCATACTCTCTCTGTTTCAAAATAAGTGTCATTTTAATACTTTTCACACAAATTAAGAAAGTTAACAAAAAGTTTTTTCTATCCCTAATAAATACACTAAATAACTTTCTCTTTCTAATTAATACACTCAAGTAATAAGGTTAAAACTGGATATTTTGTTATAAATTTGCATTAAAAACTTAAAATGACACTTTTTGTGAAACGGAGGGAGTATATTTTACGCTTGCATTTCGAATAAAATAGACAATCTTATTTAACAACTAATAATTAAGTGTAAATAATAGTGTTGAATCCTTCACTGCATCAAACTATAAACATTTTATTGGTAAATAAATGCAATTTCACTTTGAGGAAAACAACAAACAAAAATTTTAGATTGTAAATTTAACATTAGGCCGCTAAACGAACTGTTAACTGTACAAGTAAGATCAAACGATGACGCGCCACCTCCGTTAAAGATACGCCACGTGGACCTTTATTAAGAATCTGATTGGCTGATCTTACGTTGAAGCAAGTCACCAAAGGTCCAAAACCCCATCAACCCTATTAAACCTCTCCCACTCGCATCGTTCACAGCACGCGCGCGCGTGGAGTCTCTTTGTCTTTGTTAGGTTTGGTTTTGGACTTTGACCTTCTTCTCTCTGGTTTGTACTTTCAACTTGGGGCGAAACTCCAAAAGAGGAGAAGACCGTCGTAGCTCTCCGATGGCGACCAGAGGAATCGTTTCCGTTTCGCGGATTTTGACGGTGGTGTTGTTTTTGTTGACGGTTAATTACGGCGAAGCTATATGGCTGACGATTCCGGCGTCGGGAGGGACGAAGTGCATCTCTGAGGAGATACAGAGCAACGTTGTCGTCTTGGCTGATTACTATGTCGTCGATGAGCATAATCCTGAAAACACTCCGGCTATTAATTCCAAGGTACGGTTCCGATTGCGCTTGAATTGCTGCAAAATTGAAAGATCTCTGAGGAGATTGGTCGGCTCAATTTTGCGGGGTTTTGCTTCAATTTTTGGTTTCTGGTTGTTTGTTTTGGCTGATTTTGGTGTGATGAATCAAAATTGTGTGTATTTGATTGTGCTTTTATCACCAAGCTGTGAATTCTCTGTCGGTGATTTGGAACGGATCAAAAGCTTTTGAATTTCTTACTTATTGATGTGTGTTGTTGAGAGAGCAATCATGTGATGAAGATAAGCAGTGAAGCTTCTGATAAAGCTGTGAATTTTCTTTTAATGCGTTATACATATTCACCATTAAGCAAAAGTTGGAAGATATGCATAAAAGGTTTAATCGGAATTTTTATGTTCTGTGCTCTATCAATCGGAATTCACCAGGAGAATCGGATTTGTAAATGTTCATAAAGTTCAAAGGATGCAAATTTGTTTTGCATGTTAATGTGATTCATGTAGAAGCTATCATTGGTTAGACTTTATGGTGTCTTGAATGTTCTCTGATTACTTTTGGATAGGTAACGTCTCCTTATGGGAACGATCTTCACCACCAAGAAAATGTAACGCATGGTCAGTTTGCGTTCACAACTCAAGAAGCCGGGAACTACTTGGCTTGCTTCTGGATCGATTCGAGTCATCCGCAATCCAATCCACTAACCCTTGGGATTGATTGGAAGATTGGTATCGCAGCCAAAGATTGGGACTCTGTTGCTAAAAAGGACAAGATCGAGGCAAGTTATTACATCTCGTCTTTCCGTTTTTCTTCTTTCTGATGTGATGGCTCCATTGTTATGAATGAGTTGTATATTTGCAGGGTGTTGAGCTTCAGATGAGGAGGCTTGACGGTTTAGTGCAGGCGATTCGTGAGAACATAGACTATATAAGGAACAGGTACATGTCTTTCTTTCTCCTACAATTGCTTTCTCTTGCGATGAAACTGTTAGTTATCTCTTGAAGTCTTGGAACCAAATTGGGAGAAGAATATAGTGTGATTAAAAAAAAAAAAAAAATTGGATACAGGGAAGCTGAGATGCGTGAAGTGAGTGAAGCAACCAACTCAAGAGTGGCTTGGTACAGTATCATGTCACTTGGGGTTTGCCTTTTGGTTGCTGGTACACAGATATGGTACCTGAAGCGATATTTTCACAAGAAGAAACTCATCTAAAAACTTGGGGGGCGTGAAGGATACTTTGATATATATAGTAACATCTCACATCCCTCTACCTTGAAAAGAGGGATAAGCTCAAGATTGTAGGTTAAAATCGGAGAACGCCTTTTCATTTATATTATCTGTTGAAACTTCACTAGCATGGGATAGTTAGAGATCACTGAGTTTGTGCACAGATCACTTTGTGTTTTATTGATCTCTGTTTGAGTAGAGAAAAATACAGTGGCGTGACAATGTACCAAAGTTCTCTTCTTTTTTTCAGGCGTTTTGTCATTCTAGTATCTACAAGATTTTTGTTTTATCATGATGGTGCTAGTTAAAAACCACGATTAAAATAAAATAAATTTGGGTGACGTATACTTGCAACGAAGACAGGACAGTTTGTCATGTAGACAAGCTTGTTGTATGTCATGTCCTTTTCTTTCATGTGTGGGAACAGTTAGATATATAATATAATATTTTTATTAGTAATGGAAAAACCAAAACCATTTGGTTAGGTCATCTAAGATCTCACCAGTAGATTATAGACAACATTTTTTTTTAAAGAGTGTTTATGTGAATCTTCAATTGTCTAAGTAAATTAAAGATATGTTCATTCCTCTCTTTTTTCCCCTCGATTATTTTACTCTTGTTTTGCTGCTATCATCTTGCTTACCTATACAATGGATCTCTCTTTAATAACAATTTTTTATTATTACAAAGTTTATGATATGAGAAGAAATAGTAGAATCTGGAATATATATATTAAAGTTAATATACAAAAAGAAGAGGTGTAATCCATTAGCCCAAGTTATGGAAGATGGAGTCCAAGCATGAATCCAATTCTATTGTCCTTTTCACTTTAGCCTAATCTCTTTCTTTAGTACGTCATCGTACGAACCTCTCACTTACCATTACCATTAATCACTTAGATTCACATATAGTATATGTTTTGCATTTCACTTATCTATCCAATAGTGTTCATCTAATTAAAATGGTAACGATTTTCTTCAAATCGAGCCTAAATTTTTTCAAGTTCCGGTCAAACTTATCATCACCTATGAACGACACTTGAACTATAGCATCAATTATCAAGCGACATACCGTAATGAACATGACATGCAATAGTTATTATTCTTTATTGTCAACTATAATTATTACTCTTTCACAGTTTGTAAAAAAATATTATTATTACTCTTGTAAGTTTACAACGATTACGTTTTGATTTTATAGCAAAAACAACAGTACTGGTTATAAAATTTTAACATGAGCTTACTGTTGTCTTTTGGTGAAGAATTTATTAATTACCATATTTAGCTTTGTATTGACCAAGCAAAACACAACTCTAGAACCTGAACTAATTTTAAAGTACCAAAACAATAGATTTATTTATAAAGATAAATGATTTGGCTTAAAATGTTCATATATGAACTTCAAAACCGTAGAAATGAATCGAAGTAAATAGTACTACTAAAATTATGATTATGATTATGTGATAAGATTCCACTCCCAATGGGAAAAAACAAAACAAAACAAAACAGAAATCCCATTGGCTGGTAATGGGTTTCATACATACCACGTCATTGCTGTTTGTGACGCAAACACACAAAGTGTATGTATTAGTTAATATCTATAAACTTGCAGGAATATTGAACCACATTACTGGGAAAGTAGTTTATCCTCGATATCCATCGTTGCCTATTGGCATAGCAAGTGGAATCATATATTTAGGAGTCTCAATTCTCTAAATGATTTTTTTTTTTGTTTCGGAACATGCTAGAGTAACTTTCAACATTGGATAGTATGTGTAACTAAATTATATTGTATAATGAAATTATAGATAATTTTATTTCCAAAAAATTATAAAACTTCAACAATACCATCAACAATTTTTTTCTTATTGCTACATGCTCATTTTTAATCTAGATATTGATAAAAGATCTTTTTCAAGATATTGGAATGAACGATTAGTGAGAATTGAGATATGGTACATTATTATGTAAGCTCCTAAAATGGTAACATATGCAAAATCAAGTACTCTATAGTAAATGTTAAATGCTTGTCGATATACCCTAACATGATAAGTCGCATCAAGCGATAGGTAAGATATGTTCGAATAAAATTTCGTCGATTGAGAGGGAACATAATAAAATCAAGCATCTAGTAAGTGAAAGATTGATGCCATGCTTAATAAGGCTAAACAAGAACAATATGCATAGTCCCTTTTACGTTATGTATCTTTCTTTAAAAATAATAATATATAATTACAGATGTATACGTGAACTACAATCTCAAAACGTAACCTATTATTTCGAAGACACTCGTCGAGCACTCACACACATTTTGATTGACGAGTGAAGCAGAATTGATAATTGATTTAGAACTTATAACGGGTTTAGATAATTATTGACGTAATGACTATTGACTGCTATATATCTCATCAAAATATCTATGTGTATAGTTTTGCATGCGTATAAGTTTGTTTATAATATCATAAGGAACATAGAAACCAGTCTTATAACGATATACGAATCTTAATTTAATATGAATGGAAAATGGAAAAACAAAAGCAGGCAGCCTTAGTGATGACGAAAGAAAGAGCACTAGTAGCCGCGTCGCATTAGAAGGACCTAACCACGCTTGTCGTTTCATAGGACGAATCACAACAAATTGTATCACAAAAAGCACATTTATTTCGCTTTTTGCTTCATTAATTTAGGTTTCTTACGATAATTTTCTTTTGTCATACTCTTGGTTTCCGGACAAAACGTGGCTCAATTTACTCCTAATAATTAATAAGAAATATGCAAACAACATATATATTAATTCATATGTTGTAGAGAAGGAGGTACACTTTGGAATATTATCTTGATTGTTTTATATGCGTGAATTCATTCTCGTGAAATACAATACTTATTTTTGTTCTAAATTAGTAAATAGTAATTAAAAGCTAGCAGAGTCTGACAAAAAAACTCTTGAAAGATAGCTAGGATAGATTCTGACTAAATAAGTAATATTGATTTCTAATAAAATTTACTAGGTGGTTCTCAAATAACTTATAAAACTAAATGAGAAGATAAATAGAAATCATTTTGCAATTTACTTAATTATAGAATTTTTCAAATACATATATACTATTATGGTTTTGCAAAAAAAAAAAAATCAATATAAATATTATATATATAAACCTAAATTATGAAAATAAAAACAGATTACCTTTTTGATAGTCTTTGTGATCTTAATGGTTACGGATTACCTAGGCATGTGCACTTAGATGTACTTCTTCCCTAGATGAGGTACGAACAAACTATAACTTAGCTTATAGAAAGTAATCGAATTGATTAATCTTTGGATGAGATGGTGTCCACTCTTAAATCCACCACAATGTTCCCTATCTATTATTACCGGCGACAAGATGAATAAGATTATGCACGCATTTATTTTAAGCCACTAAACCTTATCATCATTCGCTTCGACATTATATTTAAGGAGAATATTTAAACAGTCGTCTCATCGGTTAAAATTCAAATATTTTTGGGTCATATCAACCACACGACACAACGGATCATTCACGCAACGGATTTTTCACACACGGCCACTAAAAAAATGAATTCGTAAGTCTCGGAAAATATCAATAAATTGTTTGAAATTGAAAGAGCCATGTGTCGTCCCCGTTAAATCTAGTCATTACATTTATATTGATTTTGCATATATATAGATACACATATACACATATTGTGATTAAAATTTGCTGGTACTGCAAAAATGTAATCACCAACGTTACTTGTTGTAATATGAAGAAAAACTGCATAATGTTATGATAAATAACAAGCGAAGAATAGTTTCGTGAATATTCAGGTAGATACTAAATTCTCTTTTTGTAGATTCGACAAGTTTGCTGAGTGGCTAAAAAATGAATGACGTCTGCAAGTGGATTGTATATGTATACAAAAATATAATGTAAGTGCATGCTTTTTGCTTCGTCAAAACTATATGCTTATAACACGGATAGATATGGTTGGCCTTGGACGTAAAAGTCTAAATATAATTTGGTATAATTGCTACATTACATATATGAAGTATATACTTCTTATTGGTACGATACTTTATGATTCGTTATCAATATATTATACCAAATTATATTTAGACTTTTACGTTAGTGATCTTAGATTAATAATCCAGCCATCTTAGATTAATATTCCAGCCATCTTAATTATCAAGATAATCATTCCAATAAAAAATGCAACATTATTCTTCTCCCGCAAGTATTCTTTTTTTTTTTTGGATTGCATCACGCTGCACGCATGTATATTCACAACCAGTAATCCAATGAATAAATTATAATAGGTAGATATGTAATCAACGAGACTTACGACCTAATCCGGTTTGATTATATTGAACAAAACTATAGTTAGCCACACATAATAGATACTTATCTGATACCAATTAAAAAACTATATAATTAAAAAGTGATGCCGAAATAACCAATGGCTGTAATATGCACTCGTATATTGCCTTTTGTGTCAGCCCAATTTGGCTATATAAGCAAGTACGCTCTTGTAGTGTTATCATTCACAGTCATAACTAAGTAAACTTGAATACATCAAATACAAACAAAAGAAAGAGAAACCTAGCTAGAGAGAGAAAAAGATAACAAATAGAGAGTGAGAAAATGTGGGGAGGGTTAATGAATAGAGTGAAACCATACTTAGCAATGATATCTATGCAGTTTGGTTATGCCGGTATGTACATAATCACCATGGTCTCTCTTAAGCATGGCATGAACCATTACGTCCTAGCCGTTTATCGCCATGCAATCGCCACCGCTGTCATTGCCCCGTTTGCTCTTTATCATGAAAGGTATATATATATATGTATATAGTTCTTTATCAGTAACTTTTCTTTTCTATTTTAATTGTGAACCGACCGAAAATTCCAAGAGTGATGAAGCTCTAAAAAAGGAAAATAGTATGTCGATGAACATAGCTTAAGCCTTTAGCTACTAGACTACCACACCATTTCAGTCTCGATGTATACAATTTGTTATTTGTGTGTGTTTGTGTGATAACATATACAGACTGCTTAACGTAAGACTCAAGAGAAATGAAATTCATGAATAAACATAGAAGTTTTTTATTGGGTTTAATGCTATACATAGAAGTTTATAAACTTAATGAAGTTTTTACATAATTTAACTAACGTAAGTATTTTGTGTTATTGTTATGGTAATGCAGGAAAATAAGGCCAAAGATGACGTTCCGAATATTCCTCGAAATTGCGCTGCTCGGATTTATTGAGTAATACTCGTCTATTAGTCTTTCACATGTTTCATTATAGAAACATGTTTAATTATAAGAACAATATCCGCAGATTTTTGTTTTTCTTTGAAGTATATAGTTAATGAAAATATTAGACTTATAGTAGTCATAATTCAACAAAAATTAATCAGTGACAATAAAATGACAGACCGGTGCTGGATCAGAACCTCTACTACGTGGGGATGACTTACACATCAGCAACTTTTGCTTCTGCTACGGCTAATGTCCTTCCCGCCATCACCTTCGTCTTGGCTATCATTTTCAGGTTTACATTATTTATCATTCCTCCAAATTAAAACCATGCATCGACTATTTAATTTCATGCTTGATTCCATCAGATTTTAATTTTTATCAAATGAATTAATGGACGCATTAGTATATTTAGTACCATTGGTAAATTATTCAGACTTACTTTACTTGATTCTGATATTGAGAATATTTTTTTGACTTTTCCCATACCGTGGGAACAAGATTAATGGAATCACAGGAAAACGCAGTTAGTACTTAGTATGTTGTTCGTGGAATATGATACCACTTGAATAATTATTCATTAAACACCACCAAAAGAAGTATACTGAGTCATGAGATCATCACTTCTACTTACGTAAGATGTCACTATAATCAAGTCTATAGGAGAATACATGTTTTTTCATGCACATGTAATTTAATATTGTAATTAGACATAAGCTCGATCGTTTAACGAACCTTTTCTTTTTCTTTTTTTAGATTAGAGAGTGTGAACTTTAAGAAGGTACGAAGCATAGCCAAAGTTGTCGGAACAGTGATCACAGTCTCCGGAGCACTTCTCATGACTCTCTACAAAGGTCCAATCGTTGACTTTATAAGATTCGGCGGTAGCGGAGGAGGTGGTGACGGGGCAGGAGGATCCCACGGTGGTGCAGCAGCGGCGCCGCTGGATAAACACTGGATTCCCGGAACACTTATGTTGTTGGGAAGAACTTTTGGTTGGGCCGGTTTCTTCATTCTACAAGTGAGTACCAATTAATTACAATTTCCGGTTTACTCATTAACCGTGGAAAACAAAAATCTAAACGGTTTTTTCTTATTACATTGAAACGCAGTCGTTTACACTGAAGAAGTACCCAGCTGCGCTGTCACTAACGGCGTTAATATGTTTGATGGGAACGTTAGAAGGCACCGCCGTTTCATTGGTAACGGTACGTGACCTGAGCGCTTGGAAAATCGGCTTTGACTCCAATCTCTTCGCCGCCGTTTACTCCGTAAGTTTCCTCTATAGTTAATTGAATTTTGTGATGAAGTGAAAGGATTAGTTAACTAATAAACTAAATTAATTTTGTGATTAGGGGGTGATTTGTTCGGGAGTGGCGTATTACGTGCAAGGAGTAGTGATGAGAGAAAGAGGACCAGTTTTTGTTGCGACATTTAATCCTCTTTGTGTCGTTATAACTGCAGCTCTTGGTGTTGTTGTCCTGTCTGAAAGTATTCATCTCGGAAGGTATTTTTCACATTTATTTTGTTTCTATCATTAGTATCTAAATTTTTGGACACAATTAATAAATTATTCTCTACTAATTATTTCAGTGTGATTGGGACGCTATTTATAATCGTGGGGCTGTACACCGTTGTATGGGGTAAAGGCAAAGACAAGAAAATGACGGATGATGACGACGAATTTAGCAAAGGACTTCCGGTTAAGAGTACGGTTAAACTGATAGAATCCGGTAAAGGATTAGCCGGAGAAACGGAGATGAAAGCAAAGGAAGGTCAGGAGACTAAAGCTGCTCAAGTTGAGATTTGAGGACACTTGATGTGATGATGGTAACGGAGACAATATCAGTCTGCATATTGTTTATGCTTTTGCTTCTTTTTTTTTCTCTGCTTTCCACGGTTACATAAAGATTTTGGCAGATCAAATGTAATTGATGAGATGAATCACACCATCTTATAGTTTAACTAAAAGCTTTTTGTGAGATACGCAAGCAACTTCAAAATAATCAAGAGTGTTTTCGGTTTTTACTCATCAAGAATATCACAAAAGAACAAAAGGAGTTTTAAATGCGAGGTGAAATAAACAATTGTTGTTGAATCAAGATGAGATAACAAAGGAGACTGAAGAAAGCAAGATGAGAAATGTGATAAAGAAGTAGCTAACGGAGTAAGCAGCAGCGGTTGAAATGCTTCCGGCTGGACCATTAGCAGGGTTACCTGGGAAGGAACCACCGCCCGAAGGAAGCACAGATGATCTCGGCGAAGCTGCTATGGATCCGGGACCATCAAACTCCGGCGAAGGCGCTGGTGCATACATTATATCCTTGGGAACAGTATCCGGTGGAGCTAGAAGCGGCGCAAATTGTTGAGGTCCTGCGTTTTTTAACCATTGCATTTACATTAGACCTGACGACTCTTCTATGAAACAGATATGTTGTTTAGAATGAACTTACCGGGACATCGTGGTTGTAGAGATTTAGAGAGCCTGAAAAAAACGAAAGAGGAAGAAATGGTAAAAAAGTGTGTTCAGTCATGTGATTCAAGAGGAGACAGATAGATAGATGTGAATGTATTTGACTCACATGGTCAAGATAGTGCCGTTGGCGAAACCATTGTAATCACAGGTTGTAACGTTACAGCCAGCGCTACTCTGCTGCACCGTGATGTTACCGAGCATGAGGTTGCTGTTTCTACACTGCATACTTGAGCAAGAGACGGCTAAAGAAGCAGGCTCACAATACAAACTGCATCACATCACACACACACACACCACAGGTGAAGAGAAATGCAATCAGAGACGATTTGGTTTAGTAAACATCAATCAACACGGATTGAGAGAAGGAGAGAGAATCATGGATATTATTATTACCTGCGGCTCCCAAGCGCACAGCTGCATTGCACGCAGTGGCCTGCAGCTAGAGCGTAGCTACCGTTTGGGACGATCAATCCGAAATCCGAAGCATATTTGGGGAAATTTGAAGCACAAGCTGTGAGCAGGTGAAGAAGATACAGAACCACACATTAAGCATATGTTGTTGTTAGCTACCAACAACAAAACTCAGCTAAGAAAGACACTCAAAGAGACATACTTTTGGTAGCTCAAACTCATACAAATGACAAAAACAATGCCTTAACGAGAATCAAACAACAATTGAAGAAACAATCAAAGCTACACCAAAAATCCCAATTTGGCAACAAACTAACAACAGAAACTACTTCCCATTAAGTAAAACCTTTAAAGATTCAACCTTTTGAATTCAATTTCAGTAAAAATGTAAAGTTAGAGCTCACCTGACAAAGGAACGGCGAGGATATCGCCGGAGCTGACATCAGGAGCTCCCATGGCATTCACATTCATCAAATCGGTAATAGTGGTCGAGTACCTCCTCGCGATTCCGGCCAAGGTGTCGACCTCCCTCACCACGTATGACAGATAAACCGCCGGCAAAGAATTGTCGGTGCCGTTGAAACACGCACAAGGCAGCGGGACAACAAGACTCGTCCCAACATCGAGAATCGACGGGTCGTTAACCGAGTTAGCCTCCTGGATCTGCTCGGCGGAGACCAAACCGCCGTAAACAGAGTCGGCGATGGATCCCAGCGTGTCGGAAGGTCGGGTTTTGTAGTGGGTGGAGACGGATTTCCTGATCCCGTCGACGCAGGAGCAAGTGATTGGGATTTTGAGGAAGAGCTTGGAGGGGAGGATGTGGTTCTCGACGTCTGGGTAAGAGATGTCGATGGCGTTAGCGAGGAGGACTGAGATTGGGTCTACTTGGAAGAGCGATGCGACTTCTGAGACCTTGAGGTCGGTGTAGAGCGTGTAGCCGAGCAAGGAGTTGCAAGTGTCGTTGCTTGAGCAAGGCTCGATTGTGGATTTGGCCGTCGCCGTGAAGAGGAGTAAGCTCGAAGCTAGAATCAGAATCAAGTAGAAGAAGATGGGTTTCATTTTCGATTTGTGTAGGGTCCGTACCTTTTCTAGGGTTTTACGAAATTCAAACTAAGGTTTTCTCTCTCTCTCTCTCTCTCTCTTACAGAACAATGTCCAGCATCTAAGGAAAGTACAATGGACAGAGTAAGTTCGAAGATCAATCTCTCTAGGGTTATCTCTGGTTTTCTTCTTCTTGTTGAGGAGAGAGAGAGAGAGAGGAAAAGTTAAAACTTTTTTTGAAATAGAGAGAGAGAGAGAGGAGAGGAGAGGAAGTAGCAGACAAGTGTTTTGTACAGAGTGAACAGAAAACGGTAGCTTTGCGATCTCCGAGACAGACATCTTTTTATGTTGTTATGACTGATTTGCCCCTTACTCCGAAACTCGTTTGACCAGTTGCATAAAGTTTTTTGAAATTCGTTTCAGAAAAATGGGAAATCCGAACAAGGGTATGTCGGTAAATTTCGTTACATAAGCTGAAGCCCACTTAAAAAAGGCCCATTTTCACTTTTTGGAGAAGCTAAAGCAAAGAATTTTAATACAGCTGTTTGAGAGCTTAAAGAGCCGCGTAAAATATATTCGTTTCCCACAAACACGGTCGTCTTAAAGCTTTTCGCGGCGACCGTATCAAGGCGGGAAAAAGAAAAATGCTTTCTTAGTGAGAGGATTAATTAAGAAGGTTTCTTCTAATTCATTTAGCTTTCTTAAAGGTTTTAAGAATGTATTGATCCGTGAAGCAATAATATACATTCAAGATATTAGAACTTGCAGAGATGTAACAACAACAAAAATTAGGAACCCATATAAAATAAGTAATTTTCTCTAATATCTCATCATCCTTCGTGTGACTACACTTCTCTTTTGCTTTCATGGATGATATAAGTTCAAACTTTACCCTCGGGTTTATCATTTAGTAGAGGGATCAGTTCCATCTTGTTCCTTGGGGTACGAGGAGTCCTGGGAGGTCCAGGTTGCTGCTGAGAAAGCATGTGCCTCACATATCCGTAGAATGTGCATCCCACAAGTGTGATTCCGCATCCCACAGCGTTCATCGGTGATATCGGGTTTCTGAATATCATCCATGAAACCAAAACAGCCACTGCAACCTTCAAAATCACATATACCATCCATTAGAATAGTCAGAAGAAAATGGTTTTAAGGGATTATTTGTTATACCAGCGACATTGAATGTGACTGCTGTTGTGGAGTGAATGACATAGAAGATGGAGAAGTTAAGGCAGAAAGCTAGAACACCCGAGCTCAATATGATGATGAGAGCCAACCATGGAGACGGGTGTGCTTCGAACCAATCCAAGATTCCGTTTCCTTCAAGTAAAATTGCTGGTAATCCGAGAATCATGGTCGCAAATGGCGCCATATAGTATACCGTGTTTATGCTAAACAGAGAGAGAGACATGAACAATGAGGAGGAAACAAACACTCAGTTCCATAAATTATAGACAAAAGCAGCAAAAGTTCAAATCTTTCTTCTACAAATATAGACATAAAGAGACTATATCAGAGTCTGCAACTGAAAATTTCATACTTTTCAACAACCATCATGTGAAATTGAAGATGGAAACTTCAGGAAACAGAAAACTCACCTATCGAATTTGTATCCGTGAAGAAGAGATTCCGCAAGAATGGTCTTTGTAGAGGTAGCTAAACAACCAAACAATGCAGCACAGAAACCAAACACATTAAAGCTAAGCTCTGTAATAGAAGTCAGAAGGATCCCACCGACAATTGGAACCAACGACGCCCAAATACGCCACTCGAAATATTTCCTCCATACCAGCCACTGTAACACAACTGCACTCCAAAATATATTTATTTTTACACTATGAAACCAATCAGAGCAACAACAACAAAAAAAGATGATTAATTTAGAAAAATTACAAAAAACCTGTTGTTGCTGGAGTGAAGGATTTGATTGTCTGCATAAAAGAGACAGGGATGTATCTAAGACTGATGTTTCCCAACACAATGTTGATACAGAATACGACTGACATTGAGAAGATCCTCTTCCATCGATCTTCTGGATCAACCACGATCAATGGTTTAATCTTCAGGACTCTGATCACAATGTAAGCTCCAATCGATGAACATATGAAGTGAACACACGAAACCCACAATGGAAACTTGAAATCCAGTTTCTGCAAGGAACCAAATTTTCAAACACAGATCATGAGATTAAAAGAAGGAAGTAAAAAAAAAACAAAAAGGAAAGCCACTAATTTGTAAAGAATTATGAAAGTAAGAGATTATGATTACCTGGAAGATCCATTTGTTCATGATGATAACGGTAACGTTAAAACCCCACCATTGAAGAATCGATAGCAGAGATCTGAACATACTCCATTGATGCCACAGACTTCCCTCCTCCATTATCTCTTTCTCCGTCGTAAATTCCTCCGAATAGTAAAATTAGAGCACCGATTCAGAGAGAGAAGGAGAGAGAAGAGAGGAAACTTAGGAATCTAGACAGGAGAAGCTGAGTAAGTAAATGTGGAGGGAAGAGAGTAACAGAAGCAGTAAGGTCTGCTTCTCATGCGATTTGTTTCGGGTTCTCTTTTCCTTTTTGTACTCCATCAATCTTAAAACGTCTTTCTCTCTTGTTGATTGTTCTTTCGTAGGTTTCCATGTAATTAAAGAAAAGAAAATTCCCTCTTCAATGCTTATAAATATTCAACTAATTTTGGTTGTTACAAAAATATTCATCTTCTATATCGTTTATCAGAATTTAAAGGGGAGTTTTTTTATTATTGTTTTCTTGTTATCAGATTCTTTTTTTTGATCTCCAACTAACTATTACTTCCAGAGAAATTTACAAAATTCCTCGTTCATGATTATAGAATACTTTATTAAAAATATGCACTGAGCATAACTTGTCTTTTTCTAACTTGATTGTGTGAATTAAGATTTTGAATCTTATTATATATTAGCGACTATAGTAAATAAACAACTTTTACTTTAAAAGAAGTAAATTAAAAAAGATAATAAATAACCAAGTCGTTGCAGTAATATTATAAAGAAATTGCATTAATACCAAGTCTCACTTATTTTATTTGACTTTTCTTTGGAAAGGATAACGAATAAACGCTTACACGAGATATTATCAATCGATACAATGATACAAAAGCGTAATAGATAACTTATCCGTAGAAATAGATTATTACTGGCACATCCAGGTAAATGTTTTGCAGAAGGCTTTGACTGGATTACGACCACCACGAGGAACGATGTACTGCGCACCGCTTAATGGATCACACATTTTTTTGCAAGGATCGTCACATGTGGATGGAGTCGCTTTGTTTGATGCCTTCATGCACACATTTGCGACGCAGTTCTTCACGCACGCCTCGCCTGGTACTATGTAGGAATGAGAGACTTGTGCCGAGATCATCATTGTAAACAAAACCACAATCACCAAAACATTAATAATTTTCTTTGACACTTGAGCTGCCATAGCTACAAATCTGCAAATATAAATTTTGATATCTGGTTATTGTTGTTTTGAAAACAAGATGATTCCGTGAGAATGCTAGGGTGATCTAGATGATTTATATAGTACAACATAATTTTAGCAGATTTTAGAAGTTGCTAATTATAGGGGTTTTGATTGGTTCTCCGTTTTTTTATGTTATTGACTAAATATATCGATTTACTTTTGAACAAGTTGGGTATGCTAAATATACATATTTGGCCATCTAAACATCAATTAGCTATATATAAATCGTAACTAAGTGGCATCGTGTAACTCGTGTTTACAAAATTTTACGTGTTATTACCATACCATAATCTATTTCTGAACACATTATTATAACATCGATAACTAGCTTAATAATGTCTATATAGTTGATTAGTATAATTTAATCGAAAATATTTTAACATGCATGATCAAAGGATTACACGTGCATGTTAAACAATGAATATATCTCTTCAAAAAAAAAACTGAATATCTATAACTAGCTTAATGTCTATATTGTTGATTAATATCATTTAATCGAAAATCATTTCAATAAGAATTTAGCATGCTGTTTTGTTTTTTAAAACACGAGCACTTTAGTCAGTAATTTCTGCGATTAAAAAATTATGAAAAGTAAAAAAAAAATACAAAGTAAATTATTTATTTAATTAGGATTTTTTTTGTAACTTAATGTTATTGTCTATGGTAAATGTAGATATTATCCTTGAAGTCCATCAAAATTTTGATATTATTAAATCATGACTTTTGATAGATATTTGAAATTATCATTTTTGGATTCTCATTATCTTAAGTTACTATAATAGTATATTGTAATCTTCATATATATTTCAAATCAACAAAACAAATCAAGAAAAACAAATCTATTTATAGCATCATAATTAAGTTGATAAGATGTGTGCATAAATTTTGATAAATTTCTTTGTATATTTGGAAAAAGAAAACTGTTTGTGTGCATATCTTAACATATTTACGTGAATACAATACAAACGATGCAGTAATTTTGTTATACGGTATTATATATAATGCGAGTATAGTTTGTTCTGCTCACAACCAACACGCATATATTATGTAAAAGAAAGCATACTATACGTATTACGAGATTCCCTTTCTTTGTCAAAAACCATGAGCACTGCTGCGACGACGACGATCATCGGTTTATTGTTCCTAATCGGCGTCGGTGCAGAAAGTCCTTACAGATTCTTCGAATGGCATGTAACTTACGGCCAAATATCTCCCCTTGGCGTTGAACAACAGGTACTTTAATCATGTCTTAAACATTGTTTTGGGTTTTGCTAATTGGATCATTTCAGTTTGTTTTACCCTTTTTTACTTTACGGTGGTATATTGATCAACGGGAAGTTTCCTGGACCGGACATTCACTCTGTAACCAATGATAATCTCATCATTAACGTATTCAACCATCTCGACGAACCTTTTCTTATCTCATGGTATGTGACGAAATGTGTCTAGTTTTTTTTCTTCCTTTTAAACGTGGGATGAAATGAAAAATCTCGGTCACATTTATTTATTTTTACTACTAAAAAGGGTAAAATGCGTTTTATAATTCATATATTAAGTTACAAAATAATTAAATATTTCATCATATATGTTTCCCTGTAAAAAGGAGCGGGATTATAAATGCGAAGAACTCGTTCCAGGACGGAGTGTACGGAACGACTTGCCCAATCCCGCCGGGGAAGAACTACACTTACGCCGTCCAGGTTAAGGATCAGATCGGAAGCTTCTATTACTTCCCGTCGCTCGGGTTTCACAAAGCCGCCGGCGGATTCGGAGGTATCCGTATCTATAGCCGTCCATCGATACCTGTTCCTTTTCCTCCTCCCGCCGATGATTACACCCTCCTCATCGGCGACTGGTTCAAAACCAACCACAAGGTAACCGATTCTCCTCCGATATTTATAGGATTTCGGATTCAATTTCGTCGGAATCGCGTTCGGAATCATGTTTCAGATTACACAATCGGCAATGCCCTGCGAGATGTGTTTTTTTAGATTTTGTCGTCTTTTGTAGGAGTTGAGGGCAACACTCGATAATGGTGGAAAGCTTCCTTTACCAGATGGAATCCTCATCAATGGCCGTAGTAGCGGCGCCGTACTCAACATTGAACCAGGTTTTGATAAGTTTCCCTTTCTCTTGTTGACTAGAGAACCCTTTTCTCCGACTGTTGTTGATATGTGAAAGTTTCCTCTGCAGGGAAGACTTACAGGCTGAGAATATCAAATGTTGGGTTACAGAACTCTCTCAACCTGAGAATCCAAAACCATTCGATGAAGCTCGTCGAGGTCGAAGGGAGACACACTCTTCACACTGTCTTCTCTTCGCTCGATGTTCACGTCGGTCAATCTTACTCCGTCCTTGTTACAGCCGACCAGCCTGCCAAAGACTATCACGTCGTCGTATCTACTAGGTTCACCTCCAAGATCCTCACCACCACAGGTGTTCTCCATTACAGAGATTCTACTGTAACTGTTTCTGGACCTATCCCAGATGGACCAACTACGTTGCGCTGGTCTTTTGCCCAGGCTCGAGCTATGAGGTATCGCTTTTGTTCAGTCACAAGCACCGCTCTTAGAGCTTTCTTATACAAGTAAAAGCAAAAGAAAGCTGTGGAGATGCTTAGTATTTCACTTCTTCTCGTAGATTTGAGCTTGTTTTTGTTGGTTCTTTTGCTCGCTTCTTGGTGCCATACAAAGCTAATTGTTTCTTAGCGGTTTTGTTGTTGGTGTTTTCAAAGGACAAACCTTACAGCAAGCGGAGCAAGGCCAAACCCACAAGGTACATACCACTATGGTATGGTAAACATCACCAGATGGATCAGACTTGCAAACTCTGCTGGACTGATCAAGGGCAAGCAGAGATACGCCGTGAACGGTGCGTCGTTTTACCCAGCAGACACCCCTTTGAAACTAGCGGACTACTTCAAAATCGACGGTGTATACAAGCCTGGAAGCATATCTGACCAGCCCATAAAGGGAGAGATGTTCCCTGTCACATCTGTAATGCAGACTGATTACAGAGCCTTTGTGGAGGTTGTTTTCGAGAATAGGGAAGATATTGTCCAGAGCTGGCACCTTAACGGTGACTCTTTCTTCGTCGTTGGGTAAGTTTAGTATTGCTTTAAAAAATGTTGTATTTTGGCCTGTGTAAGCTCTTTTATTCTTGAACCTCAAACGTTCATATTTGCATCCACAGTAGTATCCATACGGTAAGTTATATGCATCTTTTAGATTTTGATTGATGATCATTATACCAACCGTGTGGACTTGTGTTTGACTATCAGAATGGAACTTGGGAAGTGGAGTCCCGCCAGTAGAAAAGCCTATAATCTAAACGACGCAATCTCACGCTGCACTGTTCAGGTGAGACATCTCGACCATTTTTTAGATTCTGATCTCAAAAAGTTGGCCAACAAAACTTCAGCCTGGGTTTATGTAAAACGTGGACCGTTCTCTGTGCAGGTGTATCCGAGGTCGTGGACTGCAATATACGTATCCATGGACAACGTAGGGATGTGGAACCTGAGATCGGAGTTGTGGGAAAGACAATACTTGGGACAACAGTTGTACATTCGTGTTTACACAAACTCAACTTCTCTCAAAGATGAATATCTTATCCCAAAGAACGCTCTTCTCTGCGGCAGGGCCAGCGGCCGCCACACTGCGCTGTTGTGAGTGGAGTGAAGAGATCACTGCTGCTGATAAGTTTATTGCAATAATTTTACTGGAAAAAAATTTGATATATTTCCTTAATAATCTTAATTAATAACCTCTTATACTCTTTAACAACAAATATTACCAGACGTGAACTATATTGTCTTCGAGTTCGAGCCCATTGTTCTCATCACACAAATACATCGTCACAAGTCACAACGTAGAGAACTTTAAAGTTCATTAGAATATATATAACACAAGTCTTTGGGTTTTTTTTTTCACACATTACAATTCATCTCATCAACCATCACTTTATACTCTCTTTTTTGGTTTTAATCATCACTTGATAATCTCAGAAGTATAACTCGATAATCCTACAATGTAATCATACATTATGTTTAGATCACTATGAGTGAGGCAGTGATGAGGAGGGGACATCTGAAGTTTTACATCATATGGCTTCATCAAGAGCAGAAAAGTCGTGAAAACAAGTAACCGTGACAACCTTGCACAACATCCAGCAAAGGAGATGTCTGACACGCTTCACTAGCTTCACGATCCATCCACTTCTCCAACACTGTTTCAGCGACAACGGCGATGCGATGCTGCATCACCGAAGCACCCATAGGTCCCACTAAGTTCAATCTCGTAGCAGCCGATACAACATCTCTCAGCGTGATAAACAGGTAAGCCCTCTGAGAAGTCTCGGGATCCATGCCGAGTAGCCCACATATAAGCCCGAATATCGGGGCGTGGTGGAAATGCACGTTCTTGCAGCCTAGAGATGCGTCTCTGATGACTTTCAGATTCGGGATCTCAGTGAAAACCGAAGCAGCCACGCGAAACAACGCTGATCCTTGGGAGATGGATGCCTTTGAAGAGACTTGGTTGGTCAAGGTAGCGTTGAGCAGCTGGTCGAGTTTGTGCCAGGTTTCTATAACAGGAGATTTGAGAGCAGAGTAGACAAAAGGAAGCAGTAAGCTAGCTGTGTTGTCCAAGAGATGAATGATATGGGCTTCGAGATCTTTGGGAGACGAAACTAACCGAGTCTGAACAGCTGCTTCGAGACCGAACGAATGAGCAAAGCCTCCGGTTGGTAAAATGGAGTCGAGTAGTTGCCACTGGCTCCACTGCGTGCAAGACGCTCTTCTTGACGCAACAATCTCGCTTCTTTCGTCTTCTTCGATCGGTTCTTCCATCACTCGACCAGAGATTGCTGTAGAGAAAGCAAAACCAAACCATGAGAGAGCAAATGTGTATTAAGGATTTCGAAACTTTAGAGCTCAGATGACAAAATCGAGTATTAGCTTGAAAGAAACATGAACCCATTAATCTGGAAGAAACATGAATCCAAATATAGTTTGAAAGACAATCTCAGTGAGTATAAACAATCTAACGTGATTTAGCAAATGTTTCGACTTAAAAAAGAGGAATTTTAAGCAGAAACTACAACAGAAACCATGTCTAGACTCTCCACATAAATTCGGATTTCTGATTCGAATGAACAAATAAAATCCATTCAACAACAGAAAACGTTGAATATAAAAACATAGAATGCTCAAAGCTGATGTAAACATCGGCCATGAACGAAATCCACAACGCAATCGATCGGGAATATCTTAAGACCTGAATCATTAACAAATGCGATTGATAAATCAACGATTGTAATCGACCGAGGAAAGCTGTTTCCTTACCGAGAGGCGTCGAAGAAGATGAGTTTGAGAAAGAGAGAGAGAGACTCTCCAGAGAGTCTCGACGGGTACAGAGGCGGAAAGAGAACTCCGTCGGAAAGCGAGGAGACAGACATCGACGAGAAGCAGGAACTAATAATATTTTTCAATTAAGGAAAAAATCAAGCGTCAACCAACGGATTGCGTCTAAACCGAACCAACCGGGTTTTTTAAGTAACAATCTGTTGAGTCATGGGGAAAAAATTAACAAATAAATATACTTCAGAGATTGTGATTTTTTGTATTTGTTTATTTCTTCATATCCGCAAAGTCAAATGAAATTATGAAACTGCACTCAAGTTTTTGATCTTTTAATTCCGCAATTCTATTTAATACGTTTTATACATTCGTGGCATTTTTTTTTCAATTATTATTTAAGAATGGAGTTGTAGTTCATCATATATGTTTGGGTTGAGTTAGTTTGGTTAGAATTGAAATGCTCGCTAGAACTAGTACCTAAATGTTTATTATGAAATGCAAAAGAAGAAAAAATATTAATTTCAAGATAGAATTATGAAAGAGCACACATATACACATAATAATTTGCCGATTAATATAATAAAATTAAACATACACATACATACATTTTTTATATATTAATTATGCAGGAAATTAAGAAAAGAATGTGAGTTTCTATAATTTGAATCACTGCTTGCAGTTCAACCATTTGCATAAGGCTTTGTATAGCGTACTGCGTTCTTTTACCGGAACAATGTATTCTTCATGTTTGGCAAGTTGTTCGTTGCAAAGCTTTTTGCAAGCTGCTTCACAGATCATTGGATCGGGATGTGTCGCCACCTTCATGCATTGGTTTGGAATACAATGTTTAACACACATTTCTACGGTTGCATGAGAAATTTGTGCTCCAAACATCATTGTAATCATAGCTACGATCATGAGAATGCTGCATGTTTTCTTCATTGTTTGAACTGCCATAATGTATGAATAATTGTTTTTGTGTTTGTTTAGAAGTGTGAACAAGGTAATTTGGTGAAGAATGTTGGGTTAGTGTCGATAGTTTATATAGTAAAACTAATGATATTCATTTTTAGCAGTTGTTTTTAATCTGTTTATTGTTTCTCTATCTTAAATTATGTACATCGCATAAAATTTGTATAATTTGGCTGTGCTTTACTATATTTAGATGTCCAAACAACTAATTGGTACCCAAAAAAAAAAACCAATAACTAATCGTAATTCTATTCCAAATCCTAGCTTGCATGTGTATATCCATATGCCATTCCCTTTTTGGTTTATCTTGTATCCACATGTTAGTTATGAATTATCTGCTTGTAACAGCACATACATCAATAAGATCCATTGAATCAATGATGGATGTAAAAGGGATATAATACATATAACATAACGATTCCTATAACCTAACTCAGTTAAGCTTAGTGACAACATCTCTAAAGCTCAAAAGAGACGCATGCATATATATAATCGTAGCATCTCGATCGCTACTGTCGTCTTATCCTATTGTTTTCTTGCCTTTTCCCATGTGATGCTAAAACCTTGAATTTAAAACACTTACCCAAAACACCTTTATGATTTTTTTTTTTGTTTATAAGAAAATACTCGAATTGAAAAACAGAGAAGTGACCCACAAATATGATACCCATACCATAAAAATCCCATAACAGGAACATGACTTGAATCTTACCCAAAGATTCTCCATTCCTCCCATGTGCTCATTCTTTTTGGTTTTTGTTTTACTTCACCTTTTTTTCAATATAAAAGTTCCTTTTTTCTTTATGTTTTCTCTAGATATATAACCTTCTAGGACTACTTTAATTTCCCTTCAAAAATTTGATAAGATCGTATAATTAATTACGCGGAATATATAGGCTTAGCCATGTGAATATCTCACCATCAAGAATTGGATTGAACAAGACTTTTAGCGCATTAACTAGGCAGCAAGCAAGTGGTATATCTTCATGCATAAGGACGTTGTATTATGTAAAACGTCTTTAATAATATATATTTATTATCGTAGTATCAAAAATTGTTCTCAAACCTCCAAATGTATTAGAACCACAGAGCCCAAAACACTAAACAACTTTTCTTAACCAACACAGTAACATTTTTCTTCTTCCTTTGAATCGATGGATTAGACCACTGGGCCGTAAATCAGTAGACCAATAATTTTATGAGTACTTTTGTAAAAACTAAGTTTTCCAGAAATTTTACCTTAGATTTTGACCACTATACATTCGTTATTGTTTTGAATAAAATCAGCATAACTATAGTACCCGCCACAAAAGCTAGTTGAAACCGATTTTTTTTTATATATTTTTTTTTTACTGTCATGGTAGGACTAATCGCATAGAACCGGACCATAATTGTTTGAAAAACCACTGATAATGAAGTCATACGCATATATGGATATATTGGTTAAAAACATTAATAACTCTCATCATTGTGAGTCGTATAGTGCAAAGGAAGTATGTGGGATGGTCTAATTGAAAAAGTGATGATACATTGAAACTCATCACTACACAAACACATCACCTGTCAATGTCTTTTTTTTTTTTTTTAGCTCTTGATATTGAAGCCTGTCTTCTCCTCTTTCTTTTTTCTTCTTCTTTTAATCACGTGAACGCTCAAAAATCTTGACCAACACATATAAAATTAAATGGACCCCTTTTATGTTCACCCCCCAGACCCCAACTTTATCAATTAGGTCAATCTAGCTCCCAAACTTTAATTATTACGTATTCCCATTTCTTGGATAAGCACGTGATTACAAGCCTGTTGACGACAAATACAAGCACTTAATATAAGCAATTTCCAAGATGATTAGCAAATAGGGAGAAGTTTCATCAAACCCTAAGATAAATCTCAACTTTTGTTTCGCCCAAAGAAGAAAGAATTGCTAATGAAGCAATATGGTCTTGATAATGGAGAATCACCCACGTGGTGTGACCGTGTGAGCTAGAGAGCCATTTATAATTGAGAAGCAAACATTATAATTCTCACACGGTAATAAAATGTGAAGTACAATAAAATGATAAAACGCATGACAATTAATTCTAAACCTAAACAAGTAACAAACAACTATAGACCTAAAATTTCGATCATCTGTAATAACAAAAACTTGAAGTTAAAATGTGAGAAATTAGAATTGAATATTGTCGAATGTCGACGAAATCACTCACACATAGCAAAGAATGATGACTTGTGTTGATGGGTCCCGCATATACATTCTCTTCTGAGTTACGAAATACACTCAAGTGGATGGATGTCTCTCGGCCAACACGTCCTAAAACTAATTTAATTTTCTTTTAGCAAAAAAGAATATAGATTTTCTGTTCACAGTATTTCTTATAATTATTGATTAGTTTTAAATAATATCTATTACACATGCCACGGATCCACAAGCGATCAATCACCCTTCTTGAAGTATATCTGTTCGAATCTAAATCTGGCAAGATCGGAACATTCTTTCGTTTAATCGGCCAATTTCAAAAAGCCACGTTCATGTATATTAAAATCGATTAATTATGCAATGCATAAGCATCAAAATTGAGAAATACTTTGATATATAACTATTTCACAAAAGTACACATAAAAAACTCGAATAGGCCATGATAAAGAACTAAGTTTCTTTAATAACAGATGCATGACTTAGATCAATATACTTTTGACCTCAAACAAATACTACAAATTAAGCTATAAATATAGGGTATGTTATACTCAAATCTATATATTTTTCTAGATTATGTCATTATCTGAAAACAATGATGTCCGCAAAATCTACTACTAATTAAGTACTAACCAAAGTAAAGCAGACTGTTTAATGGATTGTTTATTAGATAATTAATTAAATCATGTCATATTATATATTCAATTATAAGTTTATAACTAACAGGCTTGTCTTTTTTTCGTTTCAATTCCGGGAAACTAAAAGGCTTATCTACTTGGAAATAATAGCTGAAATATATATATAAATATATTCGATACATATATTACAAAGCTTCAATTTCAGGCGTAAGCCCATCTCATTTGTTAAGAATCTCATCTCTCTCCCGCTTCTCTCTCTATCCTTTTTCTTTTGGGATAAAGACTCTTCTTCTCTTCTCTCCTTTGGTAGTGAAGATGGATATGTACAAAGATGATAGCTCCCCATACTGTTATTTCCATCCAAAGGAAGAATATGTTGGAGTGTGTCCCCTCTGTTTGAACGAGAGGCTTCTGGTTTTAGCTTCAAAGCAGAGATCATCAAGAACCAAACACTCTTCCTCTTCACCAATCATCAGTCTCCCTAAGATCTTCGCCTTGAGCTCTCTCCTCAGTCGCCTCGATCTCCGTCACCACCGGAAATTCCATCCCTCCTCCGATCTTGACGTCTCCACAAGCCAAGAAGGTACACAACTTTTTTTTATATGTTACATTCATATTATTTTAATTAACTTTAAAATAAAAACCATACTTCAAGATCTAATTCCAAATACATATTTTTCATATTCATACACGGAATTATCCTTTTTTCCAAAAAAAAGAAGGTTTTCAGTTTGTTTCCCACACAGAATATTTATTAAGATCATTTAATAAATATGCCTGTGTGAAAATTTTACAGTGGAATCATGAGATTGTTGCAAAAATTTCCAATTAATTATATCTACGAAGTTCGTGAAAAGCAATAATCCTTTCTAATTGCAATTATATACATAATTTTCTGTATGAACATATATAAACCATTCACACTTATACTAGACTCCTTTTCTACAGTAGTAATGCATGTATATATATATTATTATTTAAATCGGCCAGCTGAAATTTTGTTTTACTCGATATATGAATTGTGGGCTACGGCTAATTATATAGTTGGTAAATAATGTAGTTTTATTAATATTATATTATATGTCTATAAACTCTTAATTATTGTACCAAATCAATAATATAATTGAAATTTATTTATTTTGTTCAGATTCTTTTATATCGATTAAATTCGAAGACGATGGAAACGCATCGTGGGAGAAGAAAACAGTGTCAAAGGTTTGTGTCGACAACACAAACACAACACTTAAGCAGCAGCAATCCCCTATAACGAGCACTACGAGTATCGTAGAGCACAATAGCGCCAAATCATCGCTTAGGTGGCGTAAACGTATTGGTCATCTCTTCCACGTCATCAAACTCAGATCAGGATCGTCCACCTCTTCTTGCCACGTGGCATCATCCAAGGTTGAGGGAGCCAAAGTGAGGAAACATGGTTGGATGGTGAGGACCTTAACCAGAAGAAAATCCAGGAAAAGTAAAAGTTGATTTTTTTTTCAGATAAATGTTTATTTACACACTTTAAACAAAATATTTTTTCTACTATTTTTTTTTTTTTGGTTTGGTCGTTTCTACAATGATTAATGCTTCTGTTTAAAGAAGAAGTATGTGGAGGTTTTTTTTTGTAAGTAATGAAATACATGGATTCAAAATCGATCGATTGAAACATCCATAAATAAATCTTTGTCAAAAAAAAACATCCATAAATTAATTTATTGGATTAGACTATTTTTGTAAAACTAGGTGTAAACGGACAAGAGGCTGGCACCATGCCTCTTTGTAGGCATGTGGTCGGAATCTGATAAAGCCATTAAAAGATGGGAGAAGGGTCAAAATAGCCTTTTATCATTATTATCAAAATGACAAAAGAGAAAGTTTTGAAGAAAAAGAAAAGAAAAAAAAGTAACTAAAGGATAGAAGAAAAATACAAAAGTGAGTTGCTTTACAATAAATAATTTGCATGGGATTCTTGGAATTCATTCTATGACTTTTAGTGCTCACCTTAATTCTCTTTTTCTTAATTTATGAAAGAAAAAAAATGAGAGTAGTACAAGTTATAATTCAAGAAGAAGAGTCCATGTTAGGTTGTTCACAATAGTGGGAAACATTGGAGCACAAAAAATGGGACCCCAAAGCATTGCCCCATTCACATTGTCTTATAGTTGTCTCTTTTGTATACATTGTATATTTCCAAATCCTAAATGAAAAATATTTTTGTGGTATATAATAGTAGAAAATTGTCTAGATAGTTATAGCACATCGGTTTATGTTGGAGAATTGTCATGTCATATGCATCTAAGTTTTTCCAAGTTCATTTTGATTTAAAATGAAATTAGTTATAATGTAAAACCAACAGTAGATTCATTTGACAATGTTGATTTTGATATATGATCTTTATTGTGTGTTCGAGGTGACCGCTCAAAGAAAAAAGTTTGCTTTAGTTTTTTTTTTTTTCAAAGTTGAAGCAAAAGTAGGAAAGCAATGTGACTGACTCCTTCAAATAAATTATATAAGAATTTATCAATGTGGTAAAACTGATGCGAGAGAAAACCTAATTTTTAGGTGGATTAAAAGGAAGAGTACACAAACACATTTGTTTGTTTTGTATACTTCTCTTACTTTTTTGTTGGGTCTTTTTTTTTTGTAACAAACTCCATATATTAAATCAAAGTATACCAGTTTGGTAGAGCTTGTTATGAGTCAACTAAGTCGGTTCATTATGACTTACATGGAAAAAGGAAATACTTCGTGTTCGTGCCTCTTTAGTAAGAGCATCGGCACGGACATTCTGAGTACGCAGGGTAAAAAATAAATTAAAAAACTCGAAACATATCTGTAGAAATTCTAAAAAGTCTAACTCTGAAGAAAAGGTTGGCTAATCAGTTGATTCTTCAACCATATCCGAACAGTCCGTCTCGATCCTAACAGCGGTGTAGTCCTGCTCTCTTAGGCAGGATAACGTCCAAAGAAGGCCTTCGAACTCTGCATGAAGGGGTGACAAGCTCCTCTGGCATCCTTTCATGCCATACGTACGACGGCCCCCTTCCTCTTCAAAGCACCACTCCAAACCACGTTGTGTCTTTTTTTTTTACCTTTTCATATTTTGGATTTGGATGTCAAAAATACACATACAAAGAGTCCACCAAAAACTATCGACTCTCCGGCCGAAACGAAAGTGGCTATAATCGAGAGAAACAAAGAGAATAATTTAATGTTTTGAATCGATTTATTATGCTGACTATGGTAAAGTGCAGGATGATTTGCCACTGTTTTGAGACGTTTGCTCCGATGTTTAGCACATGGAGATTGATGATATTTCAAATTTATGAGTAAATAAAAATTTGTATAAAAATTTGCATGAATTTCGTAAATTTGGATTTCTTTTGTTGAGAGCGTTGGCTGTAGGGTTAAACGGGACCATTTTCATAGATGATCGTATTCAAAACTAGGAGCAGGACCACGCAACTATACTTTACTACCTAACATAAAGATATTGAACAATTAAATGATTTTTTCAGAAAAAAATAGCCCGATTTGGATTGATCCAAAATTCCTTAAATTAATTACCACACACACACAAAAATATTGGGAAATTTCATATGACGACCAAGACAAGGATCCTTGATCAGGACGTGAGCCCCATTGGTCTGCGTATATATGGACACACATAGACATCGCCTATACGAACCCGTATAATACGACATGGGTTAAAACATAAGAAAATGATATTTTACGACAAACAGCTTGATATTGAAGGATAATGCACGGTCTATGTATAAAAACGTTAGTCATGATGATTCATGAGTGACAACAACATGTGGGATGTGAATTTCAAAGTTTTGTTGAACTATTGAACATGACGTATACTTAATCTTGGAACCTTCAACTACAGTCTACAGTGCTTATCCATTTTTATTTTATCATCAGACGATACATTCTGTATGAATATGACACTCACTTAGGGGGGCTTTGTTACGTACATAGCAAGACCCAAGAATATATGATGATTTTGTTTAAATGGTTATTATTATAGATAATTTTATATGATCACGATGTACAACGTAACTCATTTTTCTTCAAAATTCCACACGAACGATCTCGAAATTAATGAGCTTGGCCCATAAAATAAAGTAGATCTATACCAAAGGGAAATGGCTTATTGCAGCCCACATTGTTCAGCAATGGAATAAAATGTTTTCTATTAACCCTCCAAGGTAAAGCCAAAGAAGACTGCAATATGTGCAGCTGTTGTTGGATTATTTCTTTTGTTTATTTTCTAATTCTAAAAAAAACAATTACTTATGCTACAGTGAAAAAGGCTGTTTGCAACATAACAAACACCTGAGGTTCTATGGTGTAGTGGTTAGCACTCTGGACTTTGAATCCAGCGACCTGGGTTCGACTCCCGGTAGGACCTCGTACTCCTGTAATCAATCTTTTTTTAGCAACTGCCAAACCAAACTAAACTTAAAAAATAACTTGAATGTTAGAACGATTTTTTACGAAAGATAATAGAAACCGGATCGTATCTAAACGGAACCAAAATATGCCTAACAAATACGAACCGGAATAAAATTTGATTGTACATATAGTACATGTAGTTCGAATCAATTTCCCAAAAGCCAAAATAATCCCGAACCTAACCCAAATATCGAAGGCTAGTAATAATTAATAAACATAAGAATTACATAGTTTACTTATAGTACATACAAATCTGAAAGCTCAGATATAAACAACAAATGAGTTGGTGTACTAGACATACAACAACAAACCATGGACAGTTTATGATGATTGCTAAATGATATTACTCTCCATGGTTGTGATGGTCACCGTTCTCTTGATTTCTCCTGCTGCTTCTCTCTCTTCTGAAAGCATGAAACAGATCCATCCCGAGACCGACGTTGAGTATGTTCATCCCCGCCATACCAGACAGAGCGAGCGGCAACTCCACGCCTCTCTCAAACTTGCGCGCGTCTTTGATCAGCTTCACAGTGATGAGAACGTGAGGGACGCACCTCGCGAACACAAACGCTGTCCAGTTCAGCACCCACTCCAGTTTCACCAACGCCGTGTTGCTGTCTCTGATCCCCGCCATTCTCCTCAACTTCCTCACGTGAAGAAAGATCGAATGCATCTGTTTTTTACACATCCGAGTAACAAAAACAAAAGGTCACCATTTTCGTTCGAATCAGTAGTAGATGTTTGTAGAGTTGCAACGAAGTGGAACGTACCTCACAGATGAGAGTAAGAATGAGGTAGTTGATGGTAACGTTTCGGTAGAGAGCCAACGTGAAGCAGACGAGGAGGACGAGATGGTGAACGAGAATCGAAGGGATTAAGCCGCTGTATAACCGGTACTGAAGCATGTCCCACTGGTCATACGCGAAGTAGCCGCAAGAGAAACACAAAGCTGGATACGCCCATTTCCATGTACCACCTACCAACTCTGAGTGATCGAACATCTCCTCTAAACCTTTGGCTAAGCACTGATTGAGCAGAATGAAAACCACTGTTGGTTGCACAAAGTGCAGAGAGTGTTGAAGAAGATGCAAAAAAATCATAATCAGTATGGCTTTGTCAAGGAAAAAAACTGCAATTATACACACAAGATAAGGCGAAGCAGAACAGTGTAAATAGCCTTCTAACTAAACACTAAGCAATTGTAATTGGTATATCTTTCACCAAATCATCGCTCTTGATTCAAGTGCTTAAAAGAAACAACGAAGAGACTACAATCACATCACTAATCGACCAATTTTAAGAACGATTCAATCAGAAATAAGAAGTACATTTAGCTTTAGAGTAATGCAAGAGTTAAAAACACAAAGCTTCCAAAGGAAATCGAGAATTGAATTTACCAATAAGCAACGAGCGATTTCTCTGCTAACATAGCAGTAATCACACAAGAGAAGAGGGAAAAAAATTGACCTGAGGCGGATGTGATGATTGAATGCAAAAGCGAGACGGAGGTGTTAACGAAGAGAGGGTCACGAGAGAGCAACGAACGAACGATCCAATTCGCCGATTGAAAGAAGCATCCGCCGCAAATCACCCAGAGAAGCTCCGTCCGGAGGTTGAAAGCAATCTCAAACACGACGGAGACCAGCCAAAGAAGCAGCGTCGCCAGAAAAAACTGCCCCGCCCCATTCTTCCCTCCCGAGCTCCCGATCCCCGTCCTCGCCATATCGAAGAGATTTCTTTAAGAGTCCGGCAAAACTTAGCCCTAATTGGATTTCTTAGCTGTAAGGGCTCAAGCTCCGATTATCATCCCATCTCCGATTTTGGCGGACGAGCCCATACAAATAACCTTCTTCACGTTTATGAGCTTTCAATAGCGCTTTTGGGACGCAACGGACACGTGTCCACCTAAGACCCCATCTGTCTCATGCTTAGTCATTAAATCAAAAAAATCATAACATTTCAACGTCGACAAGATATTAATTATATTTTGTGCCGACATTCAATGTCGGACAATCTGCTATCTAATATGGTCTAGTCCACTCAGCAGATCTGGCCCAATTGAGGCTCGGCCCAACCATTGGATAATTAAATGTGGTATTAGGCCTTTACCTATTGAGTAATTACCAAATAAACGCTTAATATATACTCCACTCAGCAGATCTAGCCCAATTGAGGTTCGGCCCATTTATGATCACAGAGGCGCAAACTCAGTTTCACTCCGAACAAACCAAATGACCTTATATACTATACATACAACAAAATCAAGCGTTGTGTTAGTTGTTTACAAGCACAAAGCACAAGAAAACTATAAACAAAAAACACCATCAAACTGAAATACTCGAAGCATGTGTGTAAATTAAGTAGTAAATACCACTTTGTTTTGCCTTTTAGACAGGTTTCCACACGGACAAAACCTCCTGAAACATCTCAAGCATCAGTTCACGATCAGCTTGCCTGAAGAAACTGCTGATTTCGTCTCTGACATCATAAATCTTGCCGAAATCAAACAGATACATGAGACACCCTCTCTTCAGCTTCTCAAGCTGATAAAGCCAAGCCTCCTGCAGCCTCTCCAGGACGTTACCGGAGTTTATGTCTTCCATCAGGCTTTCCTCGCATGCAGCTTTCAAATCAGTTATGTCGTATTTGTTCGCGGCGCCGAGAAGCGCGAGCCGGTGTTTCCAGAAGTCTTCCTGTGTTATGTTCCCGTAGAGGTAACTCAGGAGGGCCATGCAAGATTCTCTCGACATGTCGTCTATGTGGATCGTGGACGATTCTTTCTCCTTGAGGTCGTGGTGGAACATGCTTTTGAAGACGTTTGAGCTAGCCGAGAGGATGGCCTTGTGAGCGGCTAGCGTGCCGTCGGCTGTGTGGATCGTGACGTCGGAGAGGATGCTATCTTCTAGCATCCGTGATAAGCATTTGAGAGTGGTCTGTGTCGAGATTGATTGCATTGTTGCATCGGTTGGCCAAACGGGAGAAGCTTCACCACCCTGGATTTTTGATTTGATTTGATAAAGATCAGCCATGGGAATTGAATGGTAGAGAGTTTGGAAACTTTGCAGCCTAGACAAGATTCTCGAAACTTACAGTCAAAGGGCAGATTTTGAGGTCAAGAAACTCGACGTCAATGGTGAATCGACCGTGGAAGCTTGAATCCACATGCCACACACAATCATCAGTTGTACGCAGCAGTTTCTCATACACTGCACCACAAATACAGAGTATTTGCATATCCACAAAGCGAATTTAGTTCTAACCATTCCCATAAGATTACTTAATCATCAACATTTAAATTTGAAAAGTACATTTTTTTTTATAATTTTTCCATCTAAATGCAACAACTTCCCAGTTTAACTGTCCTGAGAAACTGAGATTCATGATGAATTCCTGAGAATTCACTGTAGTTCTTTCTTACTACAACATAGATTAACTAAGCTACTTCACTTTTCCCGAAACCCTTAATTCGACGAACTCCACAACATAATTTACATAAATTGAGAAACAAACAATGAAATTCAGAAAGCAGACATACCAGGAGAGATGTAGAACCTACGATTGGGGCCAACGTTGGAGACACGAAGAACAAATTTAGCAACAGGAGGTTGCTCTTTAGATACTCGAGAGAGTTCTGGGAAAAGCCTCACGGATAGATAACGATTCCTCTCTATAGACAGATGCCTTTCATATCCACAACATAAATCAACACCACACAACAACCAAAACCCACAAAAATTCGAGATAATAAAAAAAAGAGGTTTACCAATTCCAAATTCCAACTTTGAAAGGATCTGATTTTTTGAAAGAGCAAGGTCCAAAATTCTCAATCCTCCATTGCGCTAACCTCGAGATTGTCTCCACCTTCGTGTCCCCCATCCACTCTCTCTCTCTCTCTCTCTCTCTCTCTCTCTCTCTCTCTCTCTCCTGTGAACTTAAGTTTTGACTTGCCTTTTCTTCAGAAAACGCTTTACTTCACGCCAAATGACACGATGAAGCAAGCAACTACTAACACAGACACAGCACACCCTCCATCGCGCGCCACGTGTACGAAGATGACGGGTTTTTCTTTTCTAATCATTATTAAACCGGATCGACCGGTTTAGTAAAATCAGATAAACAACGGTTTTAGAGTTGGAAGAAGTGAAGTTAGAGAGAGATCAGAAATGGCGACGGAGAAGCCGAAGATCGTGTGGAACGAAGGGAGGCATAGATTCGAGACTGAGGATCACGAAGCGTTCGTAGAATACAAGATGAAGAACGACGGGAGAGTCATGGATCTGGTTCGAACCTACGTCCCGTCTTCAAAAGCAGGGTTTGGTCTGGCTTCGCACCTCTGCTTCGCCGCTTTCCAACACGCCTCCTCTCACTCCTTCTCCGTCGTTCCCACCTGCTCCTACGTTTCCGTACGTCGCTTCTTCTTTTGTCTCCTTGACTTGTCACCATTTTTTGTCTTATGAAATCTCTCGTTTTTTTTTTCTTTTTGGCAGGAAACGTTTCTTCCTCGAAACCCATCATGGAAGTATCTGGTTCACTCTGAGGATCCCAAGCTCCTCAAATCTAGCATCTGATCATGTTCTGTTTGTACGGAGGCTTTTGTTGAATAAAACATAAAGATTACATTATTTTCATGTCTCTATGTAAACAACAAAATATCACAGTTGGGTAGTATTACAGCAACAAAACACACTAATGTTTGTCATCATATAATCAAATAAAACGTGAACACATTATTCTATTATACATATAATTTGCTTTGTACAGAGAGACGTCGCTGTGTCTTTAGCCAGTGACAAAGTAATCCATTTTCTCCGGAGGTAAGTTCAAGACCGATTGGTCAACCTAACACCAACAAAACAGATTCAGATCAAATTCAATGTACATGTTTGAAACTGAAAAAAAGAAAGAGAGTATAAAACAAGCTTTTTTTTATTAGGGTTAACTTGCCTCTTCGAAAGGAACGAAGACGAAGGGAGTCATGCCCCTCTTGTGTGAGACGGCAGGTATATCAGGATTGTGAGTTTCATCGTCTCTCCAGTTCTCAACTACACCAAGAATGTCTTCTTCTGTGGTGCTTACTTCCTCATCGTTCACACCGCTTGTCACAAGTGACAGCAGATCCATCCTGTTGTTGGCTCCAGTCGCCGTTCCTCTTAACCTTTTAACCACACCCCCAAAAAAACAAAACCCATACCATCAATTCAAGTTACTCAGTCTAACCAGAATCAGATAAGTCTTTAAATGGATGTACTAGTTACTTGAAAGATAAATCAATAAGCCTTCTTCCCAAGAGGCTAAATCCTTCAAAATATGTCTAGATTCCCTAATAAGTAACCGCATCGTTAGCGACGCCAAACCAAGGTTCTCTTATGCTACTATCGAAATGAAATTTTCTCTTTTTCTGATGTAAATACCTTAAACGGATCCTTAAGACAGTAGGGCGTGTCCCTGGGTACAGAACAGCCGCTTCGATCTGCAAACAAAAGAAGATGTCTTTCAGGATAATGAAGATGTAACGGTTTGTTGTTCATTTCCAGCTGATAGGCTGTTACTGAGGCAGCTAACCTTATCATCTGACATGGACAATGTATAAGTGCCTCTGAAAAGACTGTCTGCTTTCGAAGCCTTAAAGTTCATGTACTTGGCAACATCCTTCAGTTTCTGCGAAGAGTTCTGCAGGAGTAACCAAATGCAAATTATCAGAGTAGATCACACCAGCAGCTCAACTCAACGTGTATGCTTAGTTAGATCGTAGTGTGCTGCAAACCTTGTAAAGAAATCTGCCAGAAGGGTAGAATCTTATGTAGCGGTAGTAACATACCTGCAAAAAAAAATCATAGCCAATTCGCTAAACGGGACATGTGAAGAACAAAAAACAGAGCAAGTTTTAAGGAAAAAAGACAAAAAAGGCTTTATACTATGTGAACTGGATTTGTGATCTTCCACTCAGCAATTCCAGCTCGAATGTAAGTATTCCTACTCACATACAGACCTAAGAATAAAAAAGATACAAAGTATGAAAGATTCCACGAAAATAAGACCACTTTGATGAAGAAAGATGTAACAAAGAGTTGATGTTAGTCTAAGGCATAAAGAAAGATTACCATCGGTACGAACTCTGGATCTAAGAAGCCACATTTTCCTCCACGATCCATCGTATTTGGACTGCAAGATCCTATAGTTCTCGATAACACCAGCAGTCTGCCATGCTTTCAGGCACGCGTTACGCCAGAACACAGGGTTTCGAACAGTGTACCTCCACTTTCTGCAGACACAAGCTGCTCTTCCTAGGTCATAAGGCATCATCCGAGCAAACACCTTACAAGTAACATATATCAAATGAGTCAAACTTCCAGTAGCTGACAAAACAGATTCAAGTACAATTATTGGGAAACATCAGTACAGCAAAAGGAAAGATAGGGAAGCTCCAACCTCGAAAAGAAGCTCATCGGGCAAGCAACGATGAATCAATGCTGGATCAAACTGGGGTTTACTGCTTGTGCTTCCGAATGGTGCCACTGGCCTCACATGGACTCCATAAAGATCTAGAAAAGTGAAAACAAAGGGGAAAATGTAATTCATCCTTTAACCATATAAACACACTTGTGACAAGATGATACAATCACATTATAGAAAGGGTGTTAAACGATTAAGATTACCAAGCCAAGGCCTCTTTGTGATAAAGTATTGTACAGTCCTGAGCCGCAACGCAGATTCAAGCTCAGATGGTATAGAGAGAGCATCTGTGAAATCAAAGTTTATCAAAAATAATCAAGTACGTAGCCAACAATCTCACCTATTACCCCCATTTGTTTCTTTGTCATATCATAAATAAAACTTCTACATGGACAAATCTAAAATCTTTGATTTCTCAAGTTGTATATTAAACACATTTCACGAGGCTACCAGATCAATTACTACGCATTTTTCTCGTCCGCAAACGCTACATGATGGTTTGAATGAGAATCATCGATACAGTTCCAATTTATCAAATCGAAATACAGAAAAACAGAGAAACAGAGACCACCCGTTCTAGATATCAAGTATCGATCGGGAGGAAGCCCATGGAATTCGATTAAATTACAAAAACTCAATATGAAATTGAAATACCTGAAGTCATCGAAACTGATAGACGATTGGTGCCGCCCGGTGCGGTCTCTGTTACCGGGAAAATAAAAGACGATAGGACGAGAGAGACTCTCTTCTATCTTTTTTTCGTAGTTTGTTGTCTGGAGTTTTCACATTATTCACGACCAAACCGGTTTATTTCCGAGTTAAAACCTAAAATGTCGGTTTTCTATGTTTTGAACCAAAATGGTTGTTTAGTTTAATATAGTTGCTTTGACTTTTCACTGCTTCGTCTATCACTACAGTGGTTCCTCAAATGTGTGGTACTACACGCTAGTTACGAATTTTTTTAATTGGAAAATGTTAGCTGAAAAACAAAAGATCATGTGATTTAGAAATGCAGCTTTTCTTGAAACCAAAAGAGATCAATCTGGAAGAACTACAAAAGACATGAAATTCGTCGACATGAAATTGAAACACGAGAGTGCGCGCTCATGAAGATGAACGATGCGCTACACACATCATCTTCTTTTATCCTTATTATTATTATCAGTCCGCAACAACAACAACAATGCGTGTGCTGCGTTTAGCACCACATGCTCAGGATCTTCCTTTTGGCTGCAAGAGCATTTATCTCCCTGCCTAGACCAGCTTTTTGGGTAAAAAGATGAAGACCCTGTTGAAACAAGTCAATAAAAAAAAAAACATCGTTAAAAAAACGTTGCAGACAATTATAAATGAACAAGGATCATAGAAGATAAAATAATATATAAGTTATTATCACCTTTTGGATATCTTGGCGCTTGTAAGCCTCTGTCATCTCTTCGTGCACCTGGCTGCGCTTCTTTCCAAGCTCTTTTATCGCCTCATCAACCTAACAAATTAACCAAATTAATAAAGACAAGAACAAGATACAACAGGTTAAACAAAAGGGAAGCATTATTATTTACGATGTGAACCTCTGCAACATCTTCAACACTTGGTTGATAACTATTCATCTCTAATACAGTCTCATTGTTGTTTTCTCCAACCATCATCATGCGTGTAACCTATTATTTTAACGCAATGTCACACGTATTCAGTAGTTGCTAGTAATAGTAACCTTCTTAAAACAAAACTAATTCTTGATTTGCCTCTGCGGCTTTCTTTTTTTCTTTTACCTCTGCCCGAATGTTGCTAGCGTTTGCACCCAAATTGGCCAGGACCAGAGCAGCTAAACATCCTTCATTACTAACAAGACCAAGCAGAACATGTCCTGATCCAATGTAGTTATGCCCTAGCAACCAACAGACCAATATATCACAAACAGTATATCTCCCAACCTTGATAAGATATATAATAGAGAAAAAAAACAGACAAGCTACCAAGTTTCCGAGCTTCTTCGTATGACAACTCAAGCGTGTGCAAAGCAGGGTCGGTAAATGGGACATCCATTGCCGTGATTTCACCCTTCCTTGCAGCATCCCTATCCAAAAAGACACCTTCGGTTGGTCTCCCGGATATTCTGTCAGCTTCCAACCACACTTCTTCTGGCTTGACTCCCATGGACTCAAGAACCTTTGCAGGAATGGTTTCGGCGCCAAGTAGCAGGCCAACTAGGATTTTATCAGCCCCGACACTCATGTGGCCTACCCTGCGCTTTTCCTTTTCCGACAGCATCACGGCCTTCATTGCTTCCTCGGTGAACCGTTCAAACATCCTCCTTCGGAACTCTCTCGACGGTCGTCTAATCTTCAACACCTCCCACTTCTTGACTGGAGGAGAATCAGTGAAAGACGGGAGCTGCGGAAAATTCGGGAAATAAGGCAGGACCCGCAATTGAACCCTTCAGTTAACACTGGATTCTTTAGAACAGCATCATATATATATTCTAAGGTTCACATGCTATTTCTTGTGAATAAGCTGATCCAAAGCTCATGATTCTGTAACACCAAAAGAAGCTACGTACTCAAGGTACACTTTTTAGCAACACAGAAGCTAATATTAGATCGAAAGCTTCTAACTTCTAATAGCTCCAGCTATCGAGCTTATGAGTCCATTTTAGATCCAAATCTTCTAACTTTGTCATTGTAAGACATGCAACCTAATTAAGATTAGATCAAAAGAACCTTCCTTTTACAGCAAAAACACGAAATTCAGGGGAAAGCTTCTTTTTTTTTCGGCACCAAAAAAAGCTTCTTTCACTGTGCCGAAAGCCACAATTGAATCGGCAGAGGTACAAAACCATAGAAGCTTTACCTTGGCCCAGTGAGAGGAGAAGCTAGAAGCTTTGCCATAGTGACCTAGAAAGCGAGACTCTTTTTTGCCGGCCGTCGGAGCTGGAGAAGATCGAGACGCTTATATTATTGTTGGTCCTCGTCGGCGTCTTAGGTTCGAATAGAAGAGGGTAAAGAAATTGTATTTTACTCAAAAGTCTTTAATTCAGATATGGATTATCAAATCTACAGAATTAATTTTGAATATTCCATGATTAAATAACACCCTCTAATTATATTGAAAAGAGAACAGAGTTCAGAAAACAAAAATTAACAAAAGCAGCAAAAAAAAAAAAAAAAAACCGTTATTGCATAAAGAGACCTATTTTTCCCTCTCTCTCCCTCTTTTCTCTACTCAAAGCTCTGTCTTCTGTATATTTTCCTCAAAACTACCAAAAACTAAGATAGCAGCTAAGAGAGAGAGAACACAGTTATCTCTTTTCAGAGCTCGTCCTTAGCTTCCTCAGTTGCCTTTTCCTCCGTCTTAGTAGGCTCTCCAGCTTTGTCCTTGTTGTTGTCGATGAAGCTAATGAGATCTTCCTTTGACCTGTCTCCTTCATAAACCACAATGTTTCCACTCGCTGATCTGAAGTAAATGGTAGGGAAACCCTTCACATCGAAGGTGTCACGTGGGAAGTCATTCGCGGTTGCGTCCTGGACAAGTGAAAGAGTAAGTATCCGGTAAGATATAAAAACCGCAGAGGATCAATGAGCATAACGAGAGAAAGAGCTTACAAGCTTAGCTATGACGACACTTGGGTCGCTTTGGTACGACACAGCCACTTCGTCCAAGATTGGAACAAGCTTTTGGCAGTGTCCACACCATGGAGCATAGAACTCAAGCAAAACTGCAAGGCAAAGAAAAGGGAAAGATAAACTGGTTTATAAGAGCCTTTTGCTACAAGCAAGCATGTGTTTGTGATTTCATTAATGTAATGCACAACTCACCGTTCTTTCCAGAGTTGAGGACCATGTCGTCAAGACTCTCGGCAACAACAACCTTCACTGGCTCGTTGTTCTCGGCTGGGAGAGGTTGAGACTTTTTGTGTGGGGCAACTTTGCCTTCTTTGTAGTCTTTGACCCATGATTCAATCTGTTCAACCTCCACATTTGTCTTGAGGTATTTCTTGTCGTCAGCTGTTTGGATGATGATGAGAGGAACTTGGCTCTCTTCAAGTCCAAAGTACTGTTTATTGGTTCAGAAAAGAGAGAAATATGTTTTAGCATTTTGTAAACCAACACGGGATGAAACGATTGGGAGATAGATAGCCGAGGAAGACTAACCTGGAATGCGCCTTGGCTGTTCTCAGCATCACCGAGAAGGAAGCTAAGACCCTGCCCCTTGTTGGATGCAGCAACTTCACGGTACTTTGATTTAAGAGACTCAGCTCCTTCTCCAGTGAAGTTAATGAACAACATAGCCTGAAACTCAAAAACATTACCCACCATCAGAACCAGACGAGGTTGGGAAATAAGATCAGTGAAAAACTATAGAATTGCTTTTAGTGATGGGATTACAATCTTTGGTAACTCTATACGATGAGTTTACCTTAGTATTAGGGCTGTCAAAGAACTTGATAACATATGGGTGGTTGTTTGGATCTTTGTCAAAGACGGTGATAAGGGGAATGCTGGATTCTTTGACAAACTTCTCCAGAGCTTCACCATCAAAATCCTGGATTGACAAAAGAAAATCAACACAAACACTCAGCAACGATATATCATATAGATAGACAAAGTGACAAGCTTTTCTCCTGTACCTTAGAATCAACAAACAGCTCGTCGAAGGGTTTGAATACCCTGACTACAGGTCCTGTCACAGACTCTCCACGAGGAAGAAGTTTAGCATCAGAGGTGTGTGCGAAATCATAGTCAGAGCGCAATTTCTCAGCAATGGCCAAGAAAGAATCAAACTCGGAGCCAGATAACTTAGGGAAAACTCCAACCTAAAAGCAACAGAGATAGACGTTAAATTCGACTGCCAGACATGAAGAAACCAAAGGAGCAGAGACAAAAACGAAAATGACACTTACCACAGTAACCTTCTTGTCACCAACAACCTCAGAAGCCTCATCAGCTGACTTAATCTCAAATGAAGCAGGTCCACTTTGCTTCTTCAAGTAAGAAACGATGCCGTCGGCTTCACGAGGTCCGTTGTATTCTTGAATGGCTTTGCCTCCGTTTCTGAAAATCTTGATTGTTGGGAAACCCTGAACCTCGTACTGGGTTGCAAATTCTCTGTTTGTTTCCTCACTTGCATCAATCTTAGCAAGAACCACCGGAGGAACGTGAGTGCTCAACTCTGACGCAGCCTTCTCGTACTGTTAACAAAAATATCGTCACCAGTTTAGTCACGGCTACATCACAAATAGCTTATCGACCACACATGCAGATCCTATTACAGAGATTGGAAAAATCTGTATTTACCTCAGGGGCAAGCTGCTTGCAGTGTCCACACCTAAAGAAGAACAAAATAAGGATTAACAAATGAGAGGAGATGAAGATCAATTACTTTCACGCATAATTACTAGAAAAAAAATTTCAAATCGGAAATCATTGCGCCAAATTACTATGCGCACAAGCTCGTATTTTGAATCTAGATCATTAGATGGAAACAGATCGAATACAATTGCAACAAAACCTCTACCTAATCAAACAGATCAGCTACGCTATTTTAGATCAATAGTGGAAACGTAACTGAGAAGAAAAAAATTCATTGGCATGCAAATCCAAAAGAGACAAAAATCCAAATGATGAATTCAGATCCAGGTGGAAAGCAAAGGGGATCCATTAGATTAACGAATCATAACACAAAAACAGAGTACTAAGAAAAAGGTTTGGTTATCACGAATCAATACCATGGGGCGTAGAACTCGACGACGATGAAATCGTGCTTGTTGATGGTTTCGCTGAAGTTAGTGTGATCCAAGGTCAACACGAACTCCTTCGTCTCCGTCTGCTCGCTTTTTACAGACGAAGCGAGCAACGAAGACAACACAAGTATCGAAAACAACGCAAATCCCCTCATCGCCATTATTTCTCTCCCCCTAAGCTTCGTTCGGAAACTCTGTTAGCTGACTTAGCTCTACGGAGAAGCTCTGGGGGATATTTATCAACGCGTTTCACTGCTAATCACGAAAGCTGAATGCTAAATGGTCACACAACCACGTGGCTACCTCTCATTGGATGATACGTCGTCATATTTATATAGGATTTGGCAAGGACTTAAATATTACACAGTGTCTTGACGATCTTACCCTTGGCGGTTATAAAAAAGTGGGCTATTTTGGAGATTTATTTACCTTCCAGAGTAAAATGTAAAATACCAAAAGAGGAGAGATAATTGTAGTAAACACCGAAGAAACACACCAGTTACAGTGAATTCGACCAATGACCAAGCGCCACGACATCGACAAACCACGTGATCACTAGGCTGGAAATGGAATCAATTGAGATCTCCGGTTCGAGACTTCGTGCAGATAAATGGTCAAAATATAAAATGAATCCTTTTGACAAAAAAAAAAAAAATATAAAATGAATCCAAATCTGATCCGTTTTGGATGGTTTAGTTTAATTTCATGACTTTTAATTTATCATAGATTTTGTTGACCTTGATCTATATCTTGATCCTTGTAAATTTGAGAAAATACTCAGACTTTGAATCAAATAAGTGGTCTTAGGATTTTAGTGAGATTGAGACCTTAAAAGATATATATATAAGACTAATAACCAACAAATCAATGAATATATATGAAATTTAAAATATGTACAACAATTTTCCTAAACCGAATCTAATTTGATTACCAAAATTTTCAATTCGTGCAAAATCAACCCTCCTCACACTGAGGCTGCTGTTGTTGAAACCTAACATGTTCATGAGCTTTCACAACTTGTGAAGTGAAATTTCCCAAGGCCTCAAAGATTGGCACTAAACCAGCTTGTAAGCTGCTTGAGGCTGCACTGTTCACAAGTTTAATGGTTTCCTTGTGCCTTGCTCTCTCTTCTTCTAGCTTCTTCCTCATCGAATCCAAATCCACCTTCAAGTCATCCAACGCCGAGATCCCGCTCTCGGACAAGACCACGCTTTTCTCCGACGCACCGTCTTGTAGCTGCTCGTTTCTCATTCTCGCTCTCGCCCTCTCCATCCGGAGATCATTCAACCGTTTCTCAAAATCATGTGAGACATACTCTGCTTTGACTCTCTGCCTTTGCTCCTCGTCTTGTCTCTCCCACAGCTCATGCAGACTCGAGGCGAAACCTTGCATCGCATTTGTGACGTTCTCTCCGGAGATTCTCGCCATCGCTTCTTGCCAATCTTTGCATATAACGAAAACCTGTGGAGCTCCGACACGGCTAGGAGAGAAAGGTGCGATCCCGTCCTCTGTTGATTCAGGTTCATAGTGAAGACATCTTGAGAGCCATCCATTTAGAGACTCAACATATAGTTTCTGAGTATTGACCCAATCGTTGAAGCTGATACACCATTCTCGCAGCTCCATCTCCAGATCGAGGATCGCTTTCAGACCGGAGTCTTTTTGTAAGCCTGTGTTTGCCCTGAGAGATCGAACCTTGCTCTCCATGATCGCCTGGAACTGCTTCTGGTGGCACTTAAGCATCGATCTCCACATTCTTATCAACCTTCAAGTTTCCAAGTATCGGATCACACAAAGGAATATGTATAAATGTAGGAAGAGTCTGAAGAAGTGAAATGGTTTTATTACCCGTGAATCAACTGAGTGAGCTGCGGCTGCAGTTCTTCGTCTCTCAGTTTATGTATTCTGCTGGAAATGGAATCAACTGATCTTATACAGACGTCGAGTTTGGTCAGCAGCTTCCTAATGGATGCTCGAGTAGTATCAATCTTGCTAGATTCTGCACCAAGACTATCCAGTTTTTTCAGTGTTCTGCACTTTTCTTCATAGATAACTCGAAGCTTCTCTTCATCCTGCCCCCCAGCAACAAAGAACCACATACAGTATGTCACAAGAAGCTCGGATCTAAAGAGACATTAACCCATTCAAAACAAAGAAACACATAGGTACCTTGACTTCCTTGTACAGTTTCTTTTCCCAAGCATAGAGTTTCTCCAAAGTCGACGAGAGGTTTCCACTAAAGCCTTCTCTAATATCCTGACCATTGTATGTTTTTGCAATCTTCAGTATCCTAGATGTTAATCGTATTGACGGTTGAGGCTGAGAGCGTGATGACGCTGTTGATGGTGCTACCAGATACATGATCCGGGAAAAGATAACTATCATCAGAAAAAGAAACAAGGTAAGAGTCAAGTGATGCAAATCAAATCATATCTCCTGCATGCAGAAATCCAAAATACGGCTAAATTTAAAGCACAGTTGCAATTTGAAAGCAGATAACTCTAATCTAACCGCAAATCATATGCGGAAATACATTAATCATCGCCACATATAAAAAGCTTAGTTTCCACGGAAATGCGTTTTCATGTATAGATCATTTCAAAATGCAGCAAGAAATCTGGAAAGGCCATTTATGCGTTTAAGGAGGCAATCTCAGATACAAAGAGAACACTGTAAGAACTAAGAACATTACCTTTGAGCCCAGAGCTTTTCTGCTGATATGGCAACTTGCTGACCTCAAGCAACACAGCCACTTCCTTCCCATGTGAAGAAGCAACCTCAAACTCACTCTTGATCTCCTTCACAACTTCTCTGAGATCTCTAGTGGCATGAACCGACAGTGCAGACAAGCTACTTATCTTGGAAGACTCAACATCAAAAGAAGCCGCCATGTTTTCCTCCAACTCAAAGCTCACTCCTTTCTTCCTCACGCACTCTTCTTCTACTTCTCCAACGCTCTTCCCAGCAACAGTCTCATGCCCACTTACATCGTTGCCGCTGCTACTCTTTTCTTCTCCGTCATCAACATGGTGAAACTCGGATCCTTCTTCGCTGCTCGTAAACGATGACACTGTCTTCGAACCGAATGAGCTCTCTGCCACAGGCACTGCCCTTGATGTTCCTTCACCTGAATCTCCTCTTTTCTTGATTTTTCTCTCGTCAATCTCATCTCGTTGGGACCAGTTTCCGGGCTCGTTCTCCTGTACGTGTTCTTTATCCTTCTCAGTGCCTTTCCTCTTCGTATGTTTGAATGCCTGCCCAATCACTTCCTGCTCTGTTTCATCTTCCAATTCAGGAATCCCTTCCGCTTCTCTCACTTCCCTCGAGTCAGGACTGCTTGAACTCGACCTAGCTCCGCCAGTGACCGTAGTGTACCCAGCACCGGCACCGGCTCTATTGTAATCGTAAGTATCGAAAACATTCAAAAAATCCCAAGTGGAAACCGTAGGCGGAGACGGAGGCGGCCTCGCCGGAGAAGGTGGTGCTCTGCGTTGTTCCGGGTATCCGAAATACCCAGTATTAGCGTTTCCGGGAAAATAATTGGAGTATCCCGATCCATTCTCCGGCTGCCATTGCCCGTCCTCCACTCGATGATTCTCCGGTTGAAATACTACCGGTCGAGATGGTGGCGCGGACTTCTTCATGAAATACATTCCCGGATACGGGTTCGGGTTTTGATTCGGGTTCTCTCCCATAAATCCCCATCCTTCAGCCGGATACTGATACCCACCCGAGTAACCCGGTGGATATCCCGGTTGATATCCCGGTGCAAAACCAGTCGGATAAGTTGGCGGGTAACCGGGTGGATAACCGCGTGGGAAAGTTTCCGGTAATGGTACTTCCTCCTTTTCCACTTTAGGGCTGGTTTCAATGTGGATATGACCTAGAGGCTCGCCAGATCCAGATTCCGATCCCGAATCGAACTCGGATCCAGATGATAAATGCAAATGCGAATGCGAATCCTCTTCTTCTACTTGTTCTTCCTCAACGGCAGAATGCGAGATAGAGGTTGAAGAAGACGAGATCTTGCGTTTATGAGGCTTCCCTTCGTCGGACGGAAGCGTAAGAACGGGCGAGTCAGGCGAGGAAGAGGAGCCGGCGACGACTAGTTCCTCGTCGACGAAACGCTTAATGGAATCGCCGACGTCGCAGAGGGACTGAAAGTAAGCGAGATGAGCAGCGGCTAAAGCGCAGCGATGATGCGACGCCGCTTTGATCAGTTCTTTCCTCTCTCTGCAGAGAATCACAAGCGGTTGATCATCTACCTTGGATCCTCCGCAACCCATCTAAGAAGATAACAATGCTTCGTCGTCTCCACAACTCCAAACGCGGTTTCAAGTCTCATGCTTCTTCCTGTACGGACAACGGAAAAACCATCTCTTTCCTCCGTCCGTCGCTTGTTCGGGAGAGAAAAAGTAAACAATTCCTCCACAAATCCGAAATCTGGGTTTTCAAATCGGAAAAACAGCGAGAGAGAGGATAAATTTCCAGAAAACAGAGTTTTGAAAAATTTGAAGAATCCAAAGCTTAGTAATTTGTCGTTGTCAGAGTATGAAAATGGGAGGAAAAAAACAAAAGATCAAACGTACAAGAGAGCTCTCGTGCATGCGAGAGAGTGACAGAGAGAGAGACAGAAGAATCCATGGTTTGCTGATTTCTTTAAACGTGACCGTAGCAGACAGGAATCAGAGGAGAGAGACATAAATAAAATAAAAAGAATTTAGGGGCTTCAGTTAAATAGATTAAAAAAAAAAAGAATTCGTCTTGTTGCAATTAATTTCGATGTCTAGAAAAATTAACGGATAGGGATATGTGTAAGAAAGCTAGGGATCTGGGCAAAACTTAAATGCAATTGAAATGGGGAAGAAGAAAGTGAGAGAGACGAGGAAAAGAAAAAAATACAAATTTTTGTTTAAAACAAATTTCTGAAAATTCTCCACAGTTTTTCCGGGAAAAGAGAGAGACAGACGAGAAACGACGTCGACGACGAAAGGAGGTTGTGATAAGACCGTGTCCTTTTTTCCTCACTACTTTTCACTTTTCACTCTTTTTCCCCAGTACTTTTACTTTTATCTTTTAACTCTTTTACAAATTTCAAAATAAATAGAGATTTTAACTATACTGCTCTAAACCGTAAAAAAGTATAAAGTAAACAGTAAAAGTGACATTAGGTTTTTTGGGGGTTTCCCAAAGTGTCACTAGTTTGGTAGGTAGAGAAGTGTTATAAAATGACAGGTTTAGGAGTATTTTTTAATGGAGGATAACCTTAAATAGAAGCTGTATTTGAAAGAAAAAAAAAAGGGTATTAAAGCTTAAAGTAACATAAATAATATTTTTATTTTATTTGCAAGTCTGATAAACAAACTTTTGGTCCAAAATGTTTACATTGAAATGTTTTTATTACATAAAAGTTGGTTAATTAGTTTATATATTAAATTTTTGCTAACAATTGTAAAATTACACATGATGGACACTAAAAGTGTAAAAAAAAAAATTAAAAAGCTTTGGAGACAGTTTTTCTTTAAAATCAAATCGATGGGAGAGGTTCAGTGCTCGAAAACAAATGAAATAGTAATAAACAAATGCATGAAGGAAACATGAACATGTTACGGAGGAGAGAGAGACAGAGAGAGAGTGGGCTTTAGGCTATAAGAAAAAGCTGAGACATGCCACTAGGAAAGTGTGCCAGTCACGTGCTGCCAAATCGGGTTCTCACGTGCTTGGCAAAATCCGGTTCGCATGCACCTTCTCGTCCTAAACTTGGAAATTCAAATTTGATTCAAAAATGCTGTGCCTGTGATGTCTATACCTATTTCTACTGTCTACCTATTTCTGCCCATCGTAGAATTCATATAGTGTCGGATCTAGATTTCAATCAAGACATGTCGTTCTGGTATTCTAATACTTAGATCTTGTTGAGTTTGGTAATATTCTCGTTGAAATTTATGCTATTTGCAATTTCTCTTGTGTTTCTAGACTTCTAGTTATATTAATAACTCAAACACGAAGTACTATAACTTCTTCACTGACTCTAAAAACCGAGCATAGAGAAACTGGCCACTTTTAATTATGGCAACAAAATTGGCATGCAATAATCGACATAATAATCAAGATCTAAGCAAATAGAGTGAGGACGAAAAGCAACAATAGCTTACCAGAAAAAGGAAATAAAGCAACAGTAGTAGAGTTAGGTTAATAATTATTGCTGTATTTAATTACATTATCTTTATATGTGCATGTAAGCAGGGACGGATGCATATTGGGAAAGTGGTGGGACGTGTCCCATACTCTTTTTTTTTTAGTAGTTAAAAATATGGAAAATTGTTATTTTTCTATTTTTGTTAGATATGGTAAATATCTATTATTAATAGTCCATTCGAAGTATAAACGTAAATCAAACCACTTATAAATAATATTATGTTTAACGTGACATAACTCCTAAACACCTTTTTAATTCTTTTTTTGTGTTTTATACATTATGTTTGTTCTTTTATCTATCGCTGCGGCAGCGGCTGCGGGTGTGAATTAACACATATGACGAATGTTACCGGTGGTCTCCGTTAATTGCTGCGGCAGTTTTAAGAAATTATTAGTTGTCAATTAGGAGCCGCAGTTGATGTAGGGAGTCGCTGATTTTTGTTTGCGTCTATGAAACCAGTCGCACATAGTACTGCGTCAACTAATCATCATTCCAATAGTAGAAGATCGGAGAAGACAAAGAAGAGATTAGCCTTTTTTTTTTGCTGCACACATGTGCGGCTGCGACACATTGCCGAACAGAGCTATTGTTTTTCTTCACAAGAAACAGAAACAGCTTCTAAGGTAATATTTTTTTTGTTAATTGATTTAATTTAGGTTTTATCTCTTTTTAAGTTGAGTTTTACTTAGTTTGATTCATCGTTCTTATGCTTATGTAATAAATTCATATTTTTTTCAGATATCAATGGAAAAATATTATAAAAGAAAGAATGCATCAACGCCTGCCAATGATTGTGATGATTTGCCTTCGGATCCTGCAGATAGAAAACGAATATTGGACTATCATCCTAATGAAAGAGATGAGGTAAGACGCAAATATCTTATTAAAGATCCTTGTCAACCTCGTGGTCATGATTTTCCGAAAACAGCGACAGGAGATAAATTGAGACGATTCAATTCGTCTTGGTTTGATATTTATGCTCGTTGGTTGGAATATAGTGTGAAAACAGACAAAGCTTTTTGTTTGGTTTGCTACTTGTTTAGAGACTACACTGAAAATAAATATGGAAGTGATAAATTTGTGACAAGAGGCTTCAATAGTTGGAAAAATCCAAAGAGATTGCAAGAACATGTGGGATCAGTGAATAATTTTCACAATAATGCATTGAAAATGACTGATAATCTGATGACACCAGGTCAATCAATTGTTCATGCTTTCTATAAGCAAGATGACGCGATCAAGAATGATTATAGGATCAGATTGAATGCTTCAATTGATTGTTGTAGATACTTACTGCGACAAGGATTACCTTTTCGAGGTCATGATGAAAGTGTCGGATCAGCTAATAGGGGAAACTTTGTAGAGCTTCTGAAATACACTGCATATCAAAATGAGAATGTAAGCAAGGTTGTGTTAGAGAATGCTCCAAAAAATAATCAGATGGTGTCTCACAAAATCCAGACAGACATAGTGCATTGCTTTGCAGAAGAAGTTATTGGAACTATTGTTCAAGAAGTAAATCATGATGTGTTTTGCTTGTTGGTCTGATAAAGAGCAAATGGCAGTGATTTTTCGTTTTGTTGATAAAAATGGGATAGTCAAAGAGAGATTCCTTGGTCTTATTCATGTTCTGGAAACATCTTCTTCCACTTTAATATGTGCTGTTGATTCATTGTTTGCTAAACATGGATTAAGTATGAAAAAGTTAAGAGGACAAGGCTATGATGGAGCAAGTAACATGAAGGGTGAATTTAATGGGTTGAGATCTTTGATTTTGAGAGAAAATAGTTTTGCATATTATGTCCATTGCTTTGCTCATCAGCTTCAGTTGGTTGTCGTGGCAGTTGCAAAAAAGAATTTTGAAGTTGGGGATTTCTTTGACATGATATATGTCTTGTTAAACGTGGTTGGAGCTTCTTGTAAGAGAAAAGATATAATTCGAGAAGACCATCGGAGCAAAATCGAAGAAGGAATTAATAAAGGTGAAATTAAGACGGGAAAAGGATTGAATCAGGAGCTTTCATTACAAAGACCTGGTAATACTCGTTGGGGTTCCCACTACAAAACCTTACTGCGGTTGGTTAGTTTATTTTCTTCAATCATTAAAGTGCTTGAGTGTGTTGAAATCGATGGAACTGATGGTATCAAAAGATGCCATGCTAATGGTCTTCTCAAATACTTTCACACATTTAACTTTGTGTTCTACTTACAGTTGATGTTGCTTATTCTTGGGCTCACAAATAATCTATCAAAAGCTCTGCAAAAGAAAGATCAAGATATTTTGAATGCTATGTCTCTAGTGAAATCCACCAAGCAGTAGTTGTGCAAGCTCAGGGACAGTGGATGTGATTCTCTCATTGATAAAGTAACATCTTTTTGTGAGAATCATAAAATTGAGCTGCTCATTATGGAAGAAGAGTTTGTCGATCCAAAGAAACCAAGAAAAAAAAGCAACATGACGAACTTGCATCATTATCAGGTGGAATGCTTTTACACAGTATTGGATATGCAAATTCAAGAGTTTAATGACCGTTTTGATGAGGTAAACACTGAATTGCTTGGATGTATTGTGTCTTTAAGTCCTATTGATTCATTATGCGAGTTTGATCCCTTGAAACTTCTGAAGTTGTCTGAGTTTTATCCAGAAGATTTTAGTCCTATGGAACGGATTTCTCTTGAGCATCAACTTGGTATTTACATTGATAATATTCGAGCTGATGAAAGATTTACTAATTTGGATAATCTTGGAGATCTTGCACGTGTGATGGTCGAGACAAAGAAACATCTTTCACATCCTCTTGTTTATCGACTTTTGAAACTTGCGCTGACTTTACCTGTAGCCACTGTCACCGTGGAGATATGTTTCTCTGGAATGAAGATTGTGAAGACTACATTACGCAATCGAATGAGCGACCAGTTTTTAAATGATTGTCTAGTTTGTCTTATTGAGAAAGAATTATTTAACAGTGTGACAAACGAAATAGTGATAAAAAGATTTCAAGCTATGGAAGATCGTAGGATAGTTTTATAAAAGTTTTTTTATTTGTTTTTTGTTTAGTCATTAATTTTTTATTAATATTAAAATAAAAAAGTTTATACCTCATTCTAAATAAATTTCTGCGTCCGCCCCTGCATGTAACCCCTACTCCTCTCATCATGACCAAGTATGTTATGTATGCAACTATATTACCATACAGTTTGAAACGTAGATGTGGTATGTGTGAGATATGGAAGATATCTCCATGATGTGAGATATGGAAGATATCTCCATGTGTGAGATATGTAATCCCTACTCCTCTCTCCATGATGTTTGTTTGGATAAAAAAAGTAACATGATTTTTTATTGGGTTTCATTGGTAATATATTATTATATGATGATTAAGCAAATATGGTTGGTCACTACTTTCTTAATGTGTGTAAGAACAACTCTTACAACATTAATTTTTTATGAAAAAATAATCAATATTTACAAGTCGACCGGTCGAGAATCATGCAAATAATTAATGGAAAGTTAGTGAGGTAATTAATGAAGTGATGATATCTATCACTTTTGAATCTTAAATTCTTAATGGTTGTTTAGATAATATGTCAAAAGAAACGGTGAGCTGCACGGAGGTAAGAGAGACAAAGGTGGTGGTTAACTCCAAAATTGTTCTTCTTACGTCAACTCCGCAATTTTAATACCAATTCTATTTTTCATATTCAAACAATCTTTGATGGCATTCTCGCTTCTATATTCTTTTGGTTCTTTTATATTTTTTTTGTATTCCCTGCAAAGTACGGCATCAGATAGAATTAAGTAATGTTATATAAATGAAATTACATGCATAATACCAATTTTTTTTAAATTAAAACGCCAACTATCTTTTGTATTGGTTGTGTGTCAATCTTCTAAAAACAGGTTCAATTATAAAGATCCTAAACTGGAAGAATGTGGATGGAATGAGTCTTAAACCAATGGCTTGGGGTCACCGTAAGTTTCAACTATGATGCGTCATCATTTGATGGCGTCGAACTTAGCCCCACCCTCTCTCTTTAGTTCCATCTTTGACTTTTGTTATTGTTTTCTTTCATTTTCCGTGACAATTCAATATCAACTTGTCGAAAAAGATCAAAAGAAAACTAAAATGACACTTTTGTTTCAATGGGAAAACTAAGCTCCCCTTGTGTGGGAACACCATCAGCGTGTATAGATTTCTTAGATGTTAACCCGATCGACATTCAAAGTTTGAAGTCATCTTTTATTATATGATTTCTATGGTTTTAGTGACAAATAAATGGTTGGTTGCTTAATTAAGGAAGATATTTTTGTCAACATTTTATTTGTCAATTTTGTAGAAAAAAATATACCACAAGATTAACTATAACCAAGCACGTCCATATCGCACGTGGCGTTGAAAAAACTTCTTTAAAAAATCCCTAACATATGTATTAGCAAGTACAACGGTTAACCTAATCCGGAGTAATTAGTTTTCAAGTAAACCCAAACGGGAGGAATCTTCATTCTTAAATCTTGAATGCTCAACAATTAACACCAAACCCCCAATTTATCATTAAAAAAAAAGGAAAAGTATATATTCAAAACCCCATGAAGACTGCCGCGTTTCATGACATTATGACAATATGATGACCCAAGTGTTAAAACCCACAGGCCACATTTAATATTATTCTTCAACCTCTATTTGAATTTTCTTATTTTCAATGCATTGTACGCACATAGACGTGTGACATAAGCGTTGCGTAATGGTCATGGATATTAGACTATAGCTACTATCATGTGAATACTACAATACCCGTGTGGTTTTTCTTAATATCACCAAATTTGGGTTCAACATTAACTAAACAAACAAAGCCTAAAAGGACGATTTATGTACTATTAGGTGGATACGAGTAACGACCATTGTCAAGTTGAAGAGAAAACGAAAAACTATTAATTATATTGTATATATAAAAGATAAAAACAGAAGAAAGATGATGATGTGAAAATTATGAGTTTTTATTTTATAGAATAATCGGTATAAAAAAACCAATAGTGGTACTTCTAGCGAAAAGAAAAGCCTGTGCATGATGTTATAACTTGTAAGTGTATTTTGGTGGTGTTTTTTTGATATTATGGAATTTCAACCTATCACTGTCCCTCCCTCTTTTCACAAACAACATCATGCTTTCATCTCCATTATCATCATTCGAATGATTTGCTTTTTTTTTTTTCTAAGGAAAAAAAAATCCTTTCTAAAGGTATGTAGCTTTAGTCTGAGGTCTAGACTTTGAGATACTGTTGACGATGTAGATGTTTAAGAGCACCTTCATCAATGAGATATTCAATTTTTTTTATCTAATTTAAATTTTATTTTTAAAAATTAATTAATAAGCAGATGATAAAAGTTGAGAATATATAAATCTTATTTTATATATGTTTTAACAATATACTTATAAAATATTTAATAAGAGACAATAGATGGAGATGTTCTTATATATTTAAAAAATAAGGAAAACAAAAAAAAACATAATGAAAAAGTCTGTTTTGCCAACAAACAGAGAGATTGCGCTATAAAGGTTGACCAATCTGGTTAACTTCATGAAGAGGAACAAGAAAGCTCAGAGAAGATCACCTACATTTTCGGGCAGCTCTTCGATGACGACATTGTAAAAGTTCTGAATATCGGCCAACATCTTCAAATCACCGTCTGTCAGAAAATTGATGGCAACACCTTTTCTCCCGAACCTTCCACTCCGTCCGATACGATGCATGTAGTTATCCGATTGTCTAGGCAGATCATAATTTACGACCAAGGAGACTTATTGTACGTCAATGCCGCGTGCCAAGAGATCAGTGGTGATAAGTACACGTGATGATCAGGACCGGAACTCACGCATGATGATGTCTCTTGTGTTTTGGTCCATGTCTCCGTGTGTAACCGAGACAGTGTAGTTACATTCTCTCATCTCATTGGCCAACCAGTCAGCCTTGCGCCTTGTGTTCACAAAAATGACGCTTTGCGTGATGGACAAAGTGTAGTAGAGATCACACAAGGTCTCGAACTTGCATTGTTCCTTCTCGACATTGACATAAAATTGTTTGATACCTTCAAGAGTCAGATCATCGCGCTTGACCAGAATCATGACGGGCTTGTTCATGAACTTTCTTGTCATCTCAAGTGCTTCAGGTGGCATGGTGGTAGAGAAGACACCCACGGATATCATAGTGCATTGAAAATCCGGAACATATAACACGTCAAATAGAGTATAAGCGGGGCTAAGTTTGAGTTTCCCCATCTTAGTCGCCCGTGAATCACGTCCATTAGGAAACGTGACCACCGAAGGAACAATATCAACGACATCAGAGAGTATAGTCAAATCTCCTGTCATATGGTGCGAAGCACCAATATCAATAATCACATCATTGAGTGCAGTGTTACCGGACACACGATCAGTAGTTAGCTGAGTTTGTTGATTTTGGAGAAGACTGATGAGAGCCGCGATCTGATCAGCAGGAAGTGACGACGCATTGCTGTCGGAAGATGTGTTATTGGTGCTACGAGATGTGTTTGCACGTCCACGGCCGCGTCCACCAGCAGAGTTATTACGACCACCCCGACCTTGTTGATTTTGTCCAGAAGTAGAGCGTTGTTGTTGCTGTTCGTTATACCAGTCTGGATACCCATGCAACAAGAAGCATTCTGAGACCTCATGACCCTTGCGGTTGCAATGACTACAGAAACGATTTGGATCACGATTTTTAGGAACCGAAGCAGCAGCAGCCGATGAAGAATCTGTCTTAGCGGAGAAACCAACAGCTTCAAGCCTGACTTCCTTGGCACGCATGGTGAGAAGGTGTTGTTCGGCACGTATGACTCGAGAATAGACTGTATTTAAATCAGGTAATGACTCCTCATCAATGATCTGAGAGCGAATTGTGCTGAAACGAGCTTCGTCAAGACCAAATAAGAACTTGTGGACACGTGAATCCTCCCGTTCTTTCTCTAGCCCTGCTGAAGCCGCGCACGTACAAGAGAGAAGCGGTTTAAAATTTTGTAACTCTTCCCATAACTTGGTTAGGCGACCGTAGAACTCCAAAACGGATTGACCGTTTTGTTTACAATTGTTGATTTCGTCTTCGAGCATGTGTTTACGTACGCCATTCTTGACCGAGAATCTTAGCTTTAGAGATTCCCAAAGTTTATGAGCATATGGGACGTGAGTAACGGTAGATCGAACTTGAGGATCGATGGATGTACAGATCCAACCAACGATCATAGAATTTGTAGAAATCCATCGGGCAAGGTCTGGATTCGACTCCGGTTTTGGAATCGACCCATCAATAAATTCGATCTTCTGTTTAGCTTGTAGAGAATTCCATAGCTCAGTAGACCATTCAGGATAGTTGTCTCCACGAAGAACAACAGGGGTGATCAAGGCACAAGGATTATCCGAAGGATGCAAGGTGTATGGAGAATCTGGTGCAGAGTTTTCACCCGAAGTAGAAGTAGTAGAAGTAAAAACGTGTGACATCGTATGGTGTCAACGAGAAGAGAAGAGTAGAAAAAAAATAGAAAGCGGAAGCAATCGAGGTTTGAGAACAAAAATCTAGGTCAAAGATCGTTTTTCTCTGATACCATGTAAGGAATTGGAAAGTGTTGCTGTATTCATTCACAAAGTAATGTATTTATACAAGTATGTAGTCCTAAACTAGATAGAGATAAGCTAGAATATATATTAACAGATTACAACAAATCTATGTTTATGTTTATCTCAATAAATGTTGCTAGGTAGAAGCTGGAAGATGTCGTAAATCTGATGCAGAAAAAAAAACAATATAATAAGATTATATATATGCTAGAACACGACACTTACAGTAATTTGCACTTGTAATGTTTAAATCCGATTATACAAAAAACTCATTATATATAATTAACCTGGTCCTTAAAACCACGAGAGAGCATTTCATCAGCTTCGTCGAGCACAAACATTTTGATGTAATCAGAGCGAAGAGATCGTCTACCTAGCATGTCTAATACACGACCAGGTGTTCCAACGACAACATGAACTCCGGCTTGAAGAACACGTTGATCCTCACGAACACTTGTTCCACCAACGCATGCATGAACTTTAACACGAAGGTCGTCACTAACATCACCAAGTGACTTTAAAACCCTTTCAATTTGCTGAGCGAGTTCCCGAGTAGGCGCTAAAACCAAAGCTTGGCACTGAAGTAGATCCCAATCAAGCCGGTTCAAGATGCCAGAGCAGAAGGTTGCAGTTTTCCCAGTTCCAGACTGAGCCTGTTGAATTACGTCAAGGCCCTTGCAGAACGGAACAATGCCTCTCTGCTGAATAGGAGAAGGGCTCACGTATCCTATATATGGTACATAACCATAATAATGATTCATTTGCATGAGATATTAGATATATTACCTCAGAAATTAAAAATTATCTACATGTCTTCAATGTACATTTGTTTATATAAAGGCAAAACGGGTTTAAAGAAAAGGCAATGGAGATGTCAGATGGGCGTGAGCTTAAAGAAAAATTAAGTTATTCAAACGGGTTTAAAGGAAACAATAAATCTAACGTTGTTCCCGCGTAAATTTATTTATATATTGGAATTAAGTTATTCAAACGTAAATTTATTTATATATTGCTTTGTCGTTGTTCCCGACCACAAGCAATAATATATCTATTGGTCAATATCAAATCTAACATTGTATGTTTTATATATTACGGGTATCTATAATATATTATATTATATAACTTACCTAGACCATATATACCCTTCAAAACAGCCAACTTCAGGCCCATTTTATCAAAACTTTCGCAAATCTCATCATATTCTGTGTAAAACGTTTGTTTTCCATCTTCTGCAAGTCTACACACAAATCAGTTTCTAGATCAGATAAAAAAAAACCAATTGAGACTGATATGACTATAATATATACAAAAGAAAATCAATTAAATCGAAAACTTACATCGCTTTCATTTTAGAATCAAACTGGCGAGCATCATACTGGTTCTCGTGAGATGTCATTGCCGCCATTGTTAAACAAACTTAACAACAAATAAAGTTAGAAAGCCAGTTATAATTGTAATTTTTTTTCACTTGAGGTTGCTTCAAATACCCAATTGTAAAGAAACTTTTAATTGTTACATATTTTTACGAGAACCTAAATAAGTATAAAACACATTCCTCATAAACCATAAGGCGATTCAGCCCTATGTTATGGATTGTAATAAGAGAAGGGTATTAGCAGATAATCAAAATCTAACCTGATGTTATGAATTGGATAGTGATTTTTTTTGTTTTTCTAGTTGTTTGGTGAAATATTGAGAGAGCATTGTTGACTATAGCGTATTTATAGTTAACATTTTTAATCTTAAATTTATTATAAAAGTAATAATTTGAATACAAAGATTTTCAAAAATAAAATTTAAAGATATTTAGGTTTGATAGCAATTTATTATTACTAAATTGCAGATATCTTTAAATTAAATAACTAATTATAGATATTAGTGTTAATTAGTATTTTCTTTTATCAAAAACACACTGAGATTTTGTTTTGCCCAATAATGTTCATCTTAATGCAATACAATTTTTTTTTTTAAAGGAAACACAACAAAAGAATAGAATTCTTTCACATTGTTTTTTTTGCTTGGTCAGCTATTCTGACACATGTTCCACATGTCCCTTGATACAATTCTTTCAGATTTCATTTCAAAAAATATTTAAATAATAGTACTTACTCCAAAAGTTAGTTTTAAATGACAGAAAAGTGACATTATATAGAAAATACTGAGATTTTGTTTTCCCTAATTAATGTTCATCTTAATGCAATAAAAATTTGATAAAAAAGGAAAACAAAAGGAAACAATTCTTCCACATGTAATTTTGTTTTCCCCACATGTCACTTGATACAATTCTTCCAGATTGCATTTTTAAAAAAATACATATAAGTAAATTCTAGTATTCTATAACATTTTTTCTTCTCAACTATATTTTTAACATAACTATATGCAAAATACACTTGCTCCACGTGTCATTTGAATTCTTTTTATTTTGTTGGAAAAATTAATTGATAGTTTCTTTATAGTTTAGGATAATTTATAGCTAATACATAATGAAAAAAAAAATGGATTATGTCAACACTAATTAACACTAATATCTATAAATAATATCATTAAAATATGTTTTTTTTTAATTTTCTTGTAACTTTAGCCAAATCATCTATTACTAATAAAAGTTGATGCTAAATGCTTTTAAAAGTGTCCACATAAGATTTAAAAGTTTAATTCTATTAATACACATCAGCATTGATAATTAATTATCTATCTACAAAATTAATTAGTTATAATATTAATAAAGGAAAATATCAATAGTAATATATTTTTTAATAATGGAAAGGAAAAACTATTTATCAATATGTTAATATCAAAAATAGTATATATCAACATCATCAATATAGTAAAAAGAAAAATTTGATACAAATATAAGTAATAAATTTAAAAAAGTTCATTTAATGGAAAAGAAAATATCAATATTATAAACTTGGATTTACTATATTGTAAACTATATTATATTGCCATGTTCAAAAAAAATTTGATAACCTATCTCTTAGAAAATATCAAATATGAAATTATTTTTCGCAAAAACTTATTTTGTTAAATAAAATTATTTTCTAAAAATTTTGATAACCTATTTCTTAGAAATATCAAATATGAAAATATCAAATTATTTTTTGTAACCTGTCAATACAATTAAAATGAAAATTCATATCAAAAAGTTAAATTAACAAAAAAAGGACATTAACTTGATATTTATGCTATTTTTTATTTAACAAAATCAATATAAACAAAATACAAAAACTTAAGCAATACTAAAAAACTTTACTAACAGAATGAAGTTAAATATTTAAGCTAATGATTTAAGAAATCAATATTAAGAAATTAATTAACAAAGAAAAATAAAATAAAAATTAAGTTATACAAAATGCTAAATTTTAAAAAATCACATAAAAAGAAATGGACTTGATATCACACTAACTACTTATGAAATCAATATAAAAATATTTAACTAACAAAAAAAACAAAAAATAAATTTATGTCTTCAAAAATATCAATATTTTAAAAATAATTATGTATTAAAATAAAATATAAATAAATATCAAGAGAGGTATATTATCAAAAGAAAAAGTTGTATAAAAAAAACCTAGCTTGATATTTGGACTAATATTTTGGAAAATTATCATAAACAAATTAACTAAAAAAAACAAATGATGGTATAAGATTTTGAGAGAAGTCCACACAAAATTTAGAATGCCCAGTTATAGCATGTCGAAATAGCATTATAATAAAAATAAAAATTAATGTAAAAAATAAATTTTAAAGAGATTAAATTGATATATGCTACCTATTTGGAAAATCAATAACAAAGAGATTAATTAAAAATATATATGTTAATAACAATGTGGTCTAAGGTACAAAAGATAAAAACAGTAAAAAATAATGCAAAGACTCCACACCACCGATTCCACAAGTTACAAAACTAAAATTATCAAATATTAGAATGTAAAAAATAGATATCTATGAAAACTGAATAAAAATATAAGCTAAAACTCTTAGAAGACATGATGGAGAAGGAAGAAATAATTTTGCATGATCATTGCAGCTTCCTAACAAAATTAAATGTGAATCAAAATAAATCATGGATTATATATGCAGTGGTACACAACATTAATAAGATTTTTAATAAAAAACTAAATATTTGAACACATAAACCTTTAAAAAAAACTATAGAAATTCAATGGAAAACAGAAAAAATACTAAAATCTTAGCAAGAAAATCTTTTTCTAAATCAAATGTATAGGTACGTCAAAGTTGGATAATTCGATATGTGTCATTAGTATTCTTCTACCTAATATTTTTTACAATCTTATAAATGAAAATAGGAGAAAATTACATATTATTTATTAAATTCTCTTATATAAATGAAAATTTCTACAAATATATTATAGTTTTGATAATTTAAAAGATAGTAGCCAAAAAAGAACTAAATCAAATTATTAATACAGACTCGCGCGTAGCGCGAATTAAAAGCCTAGTTTTCTTAAAAATTTGAAATAACCTACAGACTTTGTACTAAATCTTAGAATTTGGGATTTGAGACCTTAAAGGGAAAATGACAAATATCTACAACCAAGTTAACCAACCAATCAATGAATATATAAATTTATCAAATATGTACAACAATTTCCCTAAACCGAATCTAATTTCATTACCAAAAGTTTCAATTCGTGCAAAACCAACCCTCAGACTGAGGCTGTTGTTGCTGACACCTAACATGTTCATTGAGGAATCTTGATTCTTAAATCTTGAATGCTCAACAATTAATACCAAACCCCCCAATTTATCATTAAAAAAAGGAAAAGTATACACAGACGTCGTGAATTCAAAACCCCATGAAGACTGCCGCGTTTCATGACAATGCGATGACTTTGAGATATTATACACTTGTGACCAAAGGTTGAAACAGATAATGCAATTTCTTATTTTCTATGTAACAATTTCTTATTTTCTATTTAATTCCTGAAGTATTTACAATTGGCAAATTTATTTTCCAACTATCATGTGTGCAAATTAAATCCTCAACTTAACGTTGACTTCGCAAATTTATGCATGAGAAAAGTCAACGTTAAAGAAGAAAATGGAAACATTACCGTTGACTTTATATCTCAGTCCAATTTTGTAAAGTCAACATAAACTCGAGGAATTAATTTGCCAAATTGAAAGTTGAGGAATTGATATGCACAATAACAAAAACTTGAGGAATTAAATGATCATTTTTATTTAGAAATGATTATTTTCATAAATCATTATTATTTTTAGAATAGCATTAAATACTTTTTAAGAAATATTGTTTTTATTATATTATGTTTTCTATTGTTTTGAATAAAATTACGTGTATTTAATTCTGGTGATTTTTTTTTACTGGCAAATTTTTTGGTTATCGACCGATGATTATTCTCCTATCATACGGTCATTGGTATAGTTACTCTATAAGAAGAAACAATTTTCATCAAATTCACTTATTTTTTTCTATCTTTCTCAGTATATGGTAGTATTTGGTTAGCAACCGATGATTATTCTCATATCAATCGAGACTATTAGTTTTATTCAAACAGGTACGGAAAAAGAAAGAGTATAAGATCATATACTTTAATTACCTGTTAATATATATATATATATATATATCTATTAATTTTTCCAAACTTTTCTGAATTTTCCCAAAATTATCCAAAATATATGTCTTGAAGTTGATCTTTACCCAAATCAGTGGAAGTTTTAGAAGATAATTTGGATAAGAGAATTTCCCAAATCCGTTTCATTCTTATCGGATTCCCATATTTTCAATTTCCATCCCGAGTCCTAAAATTTTTAAAGACACATATATCTGTTTAAGTTATTTGTTTTTCGATAGTTATATATACTGATTTTGTCATTTTGATTAAATATCAATGAAATTTTAAACAGAAAACATAAAATAATAAAAACAAAATTTTTTTAAAAAGTATTTGATGGTATTCTACAAATAATTATGATTTATGATTATTAGAAAACATAATATAATAAAAAAAATTAAAAAATATTTGATGGTATTTTACAAATAATTATGATCCATGTAAATAATCATAATTTTATTAATAAAAACTGATCATTTAATCCTCCAAGTTTTTATAATTGTACATATTAATTCTCCAACTTTTAATTTGGCAAATTAATTCCTCTAGTTTATGTTGACCTTGCAAAATTAAACCGAGATAAGTCAACGGTAACGTTTCCGTTTTCTTCTTTAACGTTGACTTTTCTCATGCCTAAATTTGCAAAGTCGAAACTAAGTTGAGGATTTAATCTTCACACATGATAGTTGGAGAATAAATTTGCCAATTATAAATATTTCAGGAATTAAATGAGCAAGTTCCCATCGTTTGGTTATGTCAATTTCGAAGATCATATCAATTTATATATAGCAGAATAAAGTCTAGCTGGAAAAACGAACTAATCTACTTGTTGCAACATCGTCGATTCGACCTAAGAAAATACAAAAAAAAACTAGTCTCAGAGAACAAGAAAACAAATTCGTGAGAATATTTACATCATGTGTTTGTCATCTGACGTTAGATTCAAAGACGACCAATGCAACACAAACCAATTATTCCTCTGGATTGAATCTTTTGTCTTTTGGGAGATGGAAGCATCATGATCTCTAAGAAAATTGCTTCCTTTGATTCATCATCATCACAAACACCTTTCAA